TTTTTTTCTGCTGGGAAATTGGGAGAAACGGGTAAGGAGATTTTAAATAAGATGATTAATTCTAAAAAAAGATGATTAACAGAAATGTTGATCGACGTCCTAGCGTGCGCGCGTTGCCTATGAGCAACACACCAGTGTGTACGTTGCGCGAGCGCATCCCAGCACGCCCCAGCGTGCGGCCCGCGTGCTTCCAAGCTCTGCATGCATCCCCCGCGTAACCCAGTCTGCCAACATACCAGACTTGGGTCTATCCGGTCAACAACAGTCCAATCTGGTTCACCCGCGTCCCCAGCACTCGATTCGACTTCAGTCTAGTTCAGCAATGGTGCAGGAGTCCCAGCGAGTCCACGGCGTTTTTGGAGCGGTTCGACCAAGCCACCGAAAGTCTGAGATAGTCCGGCGGGAGCAGTAAGCAACCAGAGACGTGAGACGTGATAGACGGTTGAGGTCCGATGACGGTGAGCATTCAGACGATCTCCATCAACAGAAATCAGAAACGTCTCAAAGTCGGAAAAATTTTAAAATCGTAAATCCTAATCCTAACTATAGATTCCACTGCGTTAGGATTAAATTCTTTGATTCAAAGGTGTACATCGACAACGTCCCTAATAGAACCTAACAATGACGCCAATCCAACAAATGGACCCGGCCATTCAAGAAAGGAGAAATTCAAAAGCGCCTATATATCATTACATTTTTTTTATACTTCCCACACAACCGTACACGATTTCAACTAATAACAAGACCTCCCTTACAATAAAAAAACAACGAAAGTGTCAACCCATCCGGTCAAACCTCAAGTCAACTCAAAATACTCATGTGTGTTCGGCGACAGGCTGCGAGCCTGACCACTCGTCGTGTTTCTCACGCGCCACACCTTAATCACACCATCCAAGCTCCCAGTGCAGAGTGTACAACCCTCCTCAGCGCCCTCCTCTCGGTCGGACAGCGCCACCGCGCACCGGATAGGCCCCCGGTGGCCGTGCAACACTGCAATGCACGTGTGAAACCCGTCCACCTCCCTCACCCAGACCCGTCCCGTCGCGTCAGCCGACCCGCTCACCACATAGTCGCCTACAGTCGCCAGGCACATGACAGCGTGGGTGTGTCCCGCCAGTGCCCCACCGTATTGAAGCTGGCCGGAGAACCAACCACGGAGCCAGTAGTGGACGTAGCCATCGGTGCAACCGCCGTAAAGAACCGCGCCGTCCCCAGCCAGGGCGAGGGTTCGGACGGGGGAGTGTTTGGCAGGGAGGGTGACAATGAGCGAGTGTAGGCGGGAGCCGGCGCCCGCGCCGAAGAAGTTGCGGCGCCAGACGCGGACAGTGGCGTCATCTGAGGCGGTGTAGAGGACGCCGTCGTCGGCGAGGGCGAGGGCATTAACGGGCTCTGGGTGGGCATGGATTGTCTCTATGCATCTGAAATCAGAGATACGCCAGACTTTGACCGTCTTGTCTAACGAGCCGGAGTAGAGAATGTCGTCGGAGGCGTTGATCGCCAGCGATGAGATTGGTCCTAAGTGCTTCGCCTGTTGAAATTGAGAGATTTGAAATTGAGTAATGTTGTTTGATTTTTTTAAAGTGTAATGTAAGAGGAAAAAAAAAAAATTAATTAGTAGAAATGAACTAATTAGTAGAAATGAACTTAGTTATTATCTAATTAGGAAAAAGGATGAATTTCACCCTAGATGATTAAGGGATTAGCCGTTAGATAAACACAACAGAGAAATGCTACAGGTACATTATATTATATATAGAGGTGTACTTAACATTTACATTAGTAGACCCCACTCGATGTGAGTGTTATGTACACCTCTATGTACATTTATTATATGTACTTGTAGCATCTTTCAACACAAACACTTGTTTTAGTCGTGTGACGTGTAAAACCATTTGTGGAGACATTGAAGAGGCATGATCGAATTAACTAGGTAAAGAGCGACCAAGCAAAATAACTATTCTTTTATACAAATTATTGTACAAGTTGTTTAGTCGTTAAATTGTTAACTCGTTGTACCTTTTAAACAAAATTGCATAGTTATATTATGAAATACATAGTTTTGTTTATGTTGTTTTTTTAGTTTAAAAGTACAAACATCGATGACAAAATATGAATTGCGATTTTGTTTGATTTTTATATGAAATAATGCAGATTTTACGCACCGGAAATTCTGTTTCAAACTGCATATCATTTTGTCTTATATTATTTATTATCATTAACACTACAATACTATCAATAAATGATTGGAAATAATCGTGCATTCGTGCTTATTAATTGCCAAGGGACACCTAAATGGTAGCACCAATCAAAGTAAAAAAATGCACACGCAAACATATGTTAATAATTACCGTTCTATCCTTGCCTCCGATGTAACTGAGTACAAAGCTCCCGGTGGCCGGCACCGTCGCCACCTTCACGTGCCGCACGACCCCTTCCCAAGTCCGCCGCCAGATCCTAATCTTGCAGTCCGCGTACGCCGCATAGACCCTGTCGTTCGACACCTGGAGCGCCACCACCATGGACGCCTTCGCCTTCAGCTGCCCGCACTCCGCGAACTCCGGCAGCTTCCACACGCGCACGGCGTTGGACTGCGAACCCGTGTAGACCAGGCCATTCGCGGCGGCCACGCAGAGCACCTGCCCGTCCTTTTTCAGCACGGAGGACACGCAGCGGTAGGAGGCCACGTCGCCGTCGCCGGAGGCGGCCTTCGCGGCGGGGAGGGAGAAGCCCCGTGGAGTCGGGGGCTGGCTGAGAGAGAGGGATGCGGCGCCGGTGGCGCTCAGGCGGGGAGGGAGGCAGACGTGGTCGCACGGCGGCGCCTCCTTAGTGGAGGCGCTCCGGGGGAACCTGACGGCGGCGTCCCGGATGGCGAAGGAGGGGTTCGGTGGGCCCTCCTCCAGTGTCGAACCCATTTCCATTTGATTGCAATTTCTCTGTTTTTTTTTTCTTTCTTTTTTGCTTTTATTGTATCCGTTCTGTTTTTTTATGCACGGAAGGTGTTTGCGTTTATGTGCGTGTGAAGGGAAAGAAGAAAGTAATGGAGTTAATATTGGTGGTTGAATAACTGTTATGGCTGTTCAATAATGTTATAACATTTAACATTTTTTGAGAAACAAAAGGATGCCTCAACCGGAGAGAATTAATTATTGCATTAAAATAAAAGAGAGGGAAAAGAGAGGTGCCAACATGTTGGGTAGGACAAGATAACTATTGCGCTACTTCTCGATTATGCAACCAAACTTTTTGAACGAATATGTATACTATCAAATTGAAATTCCATATTATAAAATAACAATATAAATAAAAATATGACAACATAACATAAATATACATCTTTGTTATAAAAAATAATATGAAAAATCTACCCACCTAATATTTGTTTATACTTTTGTGTATTGGGTGGGATGTGCCTTAACGTAGTGTTTGGTTCAAGGGAATCAGAGGGGAGGGGAAGGGAGGTGAGGGAAACTTTTAATTTTCTTCTGTTTGGTTCACTCTTTTGTGGAGGGGAGGGGATGAGATTTTCTCCTCTAATTCATGCGCAAAGGAAAATGGCTCCCCCTCCAATTTTGGGGGAATTTGGAGGGGAGGGAAAATATTAAGACACTCAATTACAATTTTATCCTTGTCATATATAATATTTTAATTTTTATTTTAACATTATTAAGGATACATTTGTCATTCTAACATTATTTTCCCTCCCCTTTCATTATCTAACCAAACAAGGTTTGTCATTTTCCCTTCATTCCCCTCCAACAAAATTCTTCCAAACAAGGTAAAATGATTTTACATCACCTTCCCTCCCCTTCCCTCCCCTCCATTAAAATCCCTCCCCTCCCTTTCCCTCCGTTGAACCAAACATAGCCTAAGAGTTAATGAGGTGTGTGCAATGTGTTTGAAATATAAATGAAGGTTGATGAATAGAGGGAGTGACTCAATAAATGTTGTTAAGTGGTCATATATGCAAGCATATCTACCTCTTGATTTATTGAGATAGACCACCATTTATTATTTATTAGTATTTGCATTTTCTTGCCAACAAAAGTGATTTTGTTTGTGATCAATTATTTAATTTGAACACAAATGTTTTTGAGTTGGTGAGAGAACACACACCGCCTTTCAATTATTGGCACCCAATTTGCATCTTGCTTTGTAATTGAAAGCCAATTATTGTTTAGGAATTAGCCCCTATGCTAAATTATGGAATAAAGTTATTAATAGCTAAATTAATACTCATAAAAGTGGAAAATATATCATTAAATAGTTTGAATTATTTTGTACAATTTCTAAACAATAAAATTATAAGATCAGATGTCCTATTTCATTCTCTTAGATAATTGACACACGTACAAATATTATATCATCATGTACACTTGACATTAATCCAATTGAATAAAATGCGAGATAGAACGAAAAAAATTAAATAAAATCCGATTGCAAGTTTAACATCATACATCACTGATAATCATGACATAATAAAAATAATGTATCTTTTCAACTCATTGCTGAGTTCACACACCATGATCAAGCGATATATAACTATGTGTATATTTGTAAAACAAATATAGACATATTTTGGTATCTCAACTACTTAACATGTGTAACCCATTTTGTATAATCAAATAGACCCGAATCACGGCAATGTAAGGTGATATTTCATTCCGAATTAAACGGTACACATGCCTTCAATACATAATTAATAGAATAGATAGAATTATAACTCAACTCATCTTGTAAAATTTCCCTTTTTGCATATCATTCATGTAGGGAGATATCTAATTTGCATGGACAATGACTAGTCGCAATTAAGTTGTGCGATTTGTTTAGTGCTTTTGGTTATAATATCAAACCATTAATTCATCTCTTAGTGACATGTTTGTCCTAACTAGATCTATAACCATCCTCAACACTAGTATATATTATCATGTTTCTTTATCACCATCAATTTTCACCATTTCAACACTTGTGGATATTATTANTTCGAGTTTTTTAACGACATTTGAACAAGCTCGAGCTTGAGCCTTAATGAGTTGAGCCGAACTCACGAACAACTTGTTTTGTTTAATAGCTCTACTCAAAACTGCCCCTTTCTCAACTATCATCTCTTTTCCAATGCATAGAACTTTGAGAATTAGTATACAATATCGTGTAATTTTAAATTTGAGAGTATATAATAGCATGTAATTTTGGCCTGTGCCATTTTGCTTTTTAAGTCTCCAAATGGTGTACGTTGTTTAACATTTCTATCTTATGATTTGCTAATTGACAAGAGTAAGGGCATCTCCAATTGTAGACCAAAAATCTTGCAACATCGTAAAAATTAATGTTCTCATAGTTTTTCTGTTATTCGTTGCATCAAATAAAGTTACATATATATTGTGACAATATATATGTAATGTTCACAATGTGATGAAATTATTCATGTATTCCTATATTTTTGCCACATGATGGCTATATATGTGAGAAACAAAGACGTGAAATATATGTTGTAATAAATATTACATGTAAAAAGAGAAATTGTATTTTGTCAAAATCCTTAGATATTATGCCTTATCAGTTAATTTTATCACACTTTTATCATATAAACTAATTTTTCAACCATAACTCATAACTAGCACTGTCAAAACGGGTCATGGCCCGCGGGCTGGCCCGTCCGTCCGCCTAAATGGACGGGCTTGGGCCTTTGCTTGGTCAGCCCGTTCAATCGCGGACCTATTTGGCCTGCCCCGTTCGGCCCGCGATCTAAAGCGGGTTGGGGCGAGCTGGCCCACAGTCCAGCCCGTTTTTTTATTATTTATTTATTTATTAATTTTATATTATTTAAATTTAATATTTCTTATTTTACTTCTATAACTATTTATAAAAAAAATAAAAATAAAAACTAGATGACAAATATTTAACATCATTACACATGAAGTCTTACTAATTTATTAATATACTAGTAAATATAAGAATAAACAAACCAAAAAATATATAAGAATGCATAATACCAAAAAACCTGCGGGCGGGCCGATTTGGCCCGCAGGCTAATGAGGGCGAGCCACGGGTCATGGATTTCCCATCCCGTAGAAATGCGGGCCATTTTGGCCCGTCCCGTTTGAACCGCGGGCCGAAGCGGGCCAGACCGGCCCGGCCCATTTGACACTGTTACTCATAACAATATCTACTCATTAAACTATTAACTAGCTTTATCAAACATAACCTTTATAACTATATCTACTCATTTAGTCATGAGTTCGAGTCATCGAACAGGAAAAATAAAAACATTATTGATCCGCCTTTTTAAAAAAAACAAAAAAAAACAAAAAACAAAAAAAACTATACCTACTCATTAAGGTAGCAAAAAAGTAATAACTCATTTCTTGGGGCCAAAAATGAGATTTTCCATAAATTAATTATCGTCCTCCAAAGGCAAATCACAGTGAGGCCACTGAAGTGCTGTGCAGCTTAACGCGGCACATCTCAGCAAAATACACACCGAACACGCAGTGAGCGTGAAAATGGCGACGGTGAAGAAAATGCTCGAGAGAGTCCTCTCGCCGCGGCGGCCGCCGCACGCCAGCGAGGACGTCGGGAAAGCGGAGGACAATGGAGGCAACGAAGCAGGGGACGAGTCCAAGACGCGAAAGCACATGCCAGCTGCCGTGTGGATCGCCAATTATCTGACTCGAAACGGATACCTGTGGCCCATTATTCTGATCGGGCTAATTGTCGTTGCCATATTGTCCGCGATTATCCACTCGCGAGATTTGGTCTGCATCTCGGCCTCATCCGCTGATCACATATCGCGGTTGAAGTTCTTCGGATTTGATGGTTTGGAGTCGGATTTTGGATCCCTCGGTGTGCCCTGGTGTAAGAGCCTTACTCTTCTGCTTTAATCTCTGTCGTTTTCCCTAATTTTCTTTTTTCTGCATTATTTGGGTCAGAGCAAATATATAGCGTTGCTATAAGAATAATCCATGGTTTTTATTTTCTGTTTTGAACGTTTACATGAATACATTTCTTTGTTGGTAGTGATTGTGGTGATGTGGGGAAACTCCGTCTTCATCTTTAGTGAAATATATTAGTTTTTATCTTTCTTTCTTGATTTGGATGACTGAAACCTTAGATTTAGATTTAGCTATTATTTTTTGTTTGTTAGCCGATTTGCGGCTTTTCACTCCGCTTACTGCTAGAGGACTACCAGCCTGATTATAAGAAGCTACTGTAATGAAATACTGTTACGAAAATTACCCGAAATTTGTTATTGCTGTTACTCGATTGTTTTGTAGAGATTTTTTTTTTTCTGGTAAAGTAGATCCCCTGATCATGAATTTCTGTGGCTCTTGATTATTTTTGTCCATTCCAGAAATTAGTTTGACTGCTATTTGAAAACAACACTTTACTAGAATTGTTCAATATCTTCACTATCACTAAACCGTGTTTGGATTTTTCGTATGTGTAATCCCTTTAAGAAACGGTAATGATGTTTTCAACATTGTTATACTCATACAACACCTATCCTTGTCAAAAGGCAGATCGAAACACGGTAAGAATGTGGAATGGACATCCAAGGATTTGCTCAGAGGTCTTGAGGAGTTTGTGCCAATCTACGAGACCCGGCCCATTCAGAACAACATGTATGGGATGGGCTTCGACCACAGTTTCGGGCTTTGGTTTATCACAAAGTGGTTGCAACCAGACTTGATGATTGAGAGTGGTGCCTTTAAAGGACACTCTACATGGGTTTTGAGGCAAGCAATGCCCGATAAACACATCGTCTCACTTTCGCCACGTCATCCAGAGAAATACTTGAAGAAGGGTCCTGCTTATGTTGATTCGAACTGCACGTATTTTGCTGGAAAAGATTTTGTGGATTTTGGTAGCATGGAATGGGGAAGGTTGATGAGGAAGCACGGGATTAAAGACCGAAGTCGGGTTCTTGTCTTCTTTGATGACCACCAAAATGAACTAAAAAGGTAGACGAGGTTCTTAAAATGAAGAGCACAGGGTTTTCTTTGTATCCACAATTATTTAATTTGTGCTTACTTTATGAATTTTCTTTGTTATGTTTTTTGGCCTTTACGCGTTGATGAGAAGATTAAAGCAAGCACTGAAAGCTGGTTTCAAGCATCTAGTTTTTGAGGATAATTATGATACTGGAACTGGTGACCATTATTCATTCAGACAAATCTGTGATCAATTTTACATAAGAGGTGCATTCTCTTTATTCTGTACTGTCTGTGTATCTTAGCCAATGCGTACACTTTCTCTGTATTGCCTAAATATTTATAGATCCCTGATTGATTTGATTTCAACCTTCACTTTCAGATGAGATGGGTCATGATATTATTCGTTAATTTTTGTATAAAATTGTATCCCATCTAAAATATTACACAAAGCTGTGGATTGTTAATTTCTTGAATGCCCACGTACTTTATTAGTTTAATGCTGAAGTGAAGCTTGATCATCCATTTTGTATTAAGATTTTAATGCGCCCTGACATTGCATATGCTTCACTTCACCTTTATAACATTAATTCAAGCTTGAATGAATCCGGAACTTACTGGTTTTTATGAATCAAGAACACATTTTTAAAGCACGAGGAGCCATAATATGACAAAAATTTATTTATTTTCTTACTGAATTTCTGTTTTTTCCATTTGTTGCTGTTTTGGATTTCTTTCCATTCATCAGTAAAACGAAAGGTGAAGATAGAAACATCAGCAAATCTTACATGACAGCTGCTTCAAAGACAGCGACGAGGCCAGGATAAGACACAGACGAAAGAAATTCTGGGAAAAAGCTGTCGACATAAACGAGCTGTGTGGGCCCGGAGAAGAATGGTGGGGCGTGAGAGGGTACATGCGGGACGATTTTAACCACAGCAACAAACCAATATCTTACAATGAACATTTTCAGAACAGCAGATTTGTCGAGTCAGTTCTCCATGTGTACTGGGAGTTGCCGCCAGTTGCGGGCCCATCTCTCACACATCAGACAAGATATGACCCGGCCCGCACCCCTAGCCCGATTGTGGAAGATGGTAAGTACGGTTTATTTCGAAGGCTTGGGTTATTACAGTTTGATCCTTCTGTATTTAACGGGTATACGCAGATGGTGTATCTTCAGGTGTCTAAACCGGTAACATGATATTTTCTGCCTTGAGTTTTTGTTACCTTTCTACAGCTCTGTGTAAACTTTGGATATGTTTATATATGAATGTGTTTTGAAGTGGTTGTAGGATTTTTACTTGTTTTTCTGGTGTTCTTGCTTTGTACTTTTTTGGTATGGAAAGCGAAAGACAGTTTTTGTTATTCTCTGCTGCTGCTTTTGCTGTTTTTGTTTGGCCACATGAAAAATATTTGCATAACGCTTGATGATTAGATTTCTAGGCCAAAAACTAAGATGTTTATGATGACATTTTGTATCGACAAAATGGGAAACAAAATTCTTGTGTTCAGAGCTCAAATTTAAAATATTTTCTTTTCGAAAACACGAGTTTTTTTTTTTTAATGCGAGTTTTGAGATTGCCCGTTTAGATTAGACCCTCATACACTCATCCTTTTATATAGAAAAAGGAAATAAAGTTGCCAACTATTTTGAGTTTTACAACAAAAATCCAGTTATGAGAACTCCTTTACTCATAAAGGTGTAAACGAGCCAAGTAGAGCTCAAGCTCCGCTCTTGTTCCTTAAGATTGAGCCTTTATTGATTGAGTCAATAAACGAACTCAAACTTGGCTCCTTAATGCTCGAATATTAACCAACTGAATTATACTAAGCCCTTGGGAAATTATGTAAAAAACTTATTTTTCACGCCTAACAAGATGAGCTCAAGCTCGTCTTATTTGAGAGCCCAAACCTTAACGAGTCAAGCCGAACAAATAAGCGACTCGTTTTGTTTAACAGCTACTAACTCATATATTTCAATGAGGCTTGAAAAAACTGGAGACATATTGTCTTCATTTATGTACGAACACCAAACTCAGTTTATGGAGGTTGTGTAATAAAAATGATTCAACCTGGTCCTTGCACCAATCACACAGTTATTCAAATCTGACATTGATAATGATAATAAATATTCAGACCTTCCACTAAAATTTTGGGTCACACGCACAAATATCAAATTACCACAACTCCATTTACATAACAAGCTTCAAGTTGGCAAATACATATTCAGCACACATTACTCGCAAAACATTTTCATGTCTCCAATTTATATCGTCTTTGCATGGTAAAACATCAAGCATTTCCTATCCATGCCACACTACAGATGTAATAAAACCTAGTCACAATAATAAAAATAAAAATATAAGATAAAAATTTTATCGATTTCTTGAAATCCCAAGGATCCATCGAGCTCATCCTTTAGTTTTGACTCTGGCACTTCTGCATGGTTCTTGGAGCTGCAAGATGCAAAATCGAACATGCTTCAAGATTAAGTATGTATAAATATATGTGTGTATATACGTGTATATATATCCAGATATATATGTAGTCATTGAGATATTGATTTGAAAGACGAACTTTCTCCCAACCAGTTTCTGTAATTAAATTGCCATAAAAAAGGTAGTATACTACTACTATCCGTGAACCTTCTTGTTTGGTTCTTGAATTGGAGCAGACGTTTATTCTAATATGGTGACTGATAAAAACATATTCAGAGAAGAAAAATGGAGAGTTTAATAAAGTTTTCAAACGTACCTAACCCAATTGCATCAGAGCTTTTCATGATCCTCAATCTCTTGCATGAATCCAAAAACATTCTGAAAGAACAAGAAAAAAACACATGAACGCTTGAAGGTTAAATAACAACATTTCAAGGGAAAACAGATATAAAGAACGGTAAATAGAAATCAAAATAAGAAATAACTATCTTGTCCAACTGCATACACTTAATGAGGACCTTTCTGCAAGCAACAAATATTTATGAGGATTCAATTTCTTTAGAGGGAGATGTGGATTTTTTTTTATTTTTTTCAGAATTCAATCTAAACCTCAAGGACAATTACTGTAATTGAAGTCTTAATCTTGTTGTTTCATTTATTAATAACATAACCAAGCAAGTATAAATGTATCAACAGTCAACAGTTTGGATTTGAAACATACTCCCACGGAACATCCCCAACGAGCATCCAATCACCATCCTTATCTTCATAGGTCAGCACATACTCAGAGCCATTAAGCAGATCTGTCAAACGACTCTCGCTTAGCTGTCCTTGCCCGGCACATTGCCCTGCACCCAAATAATGCAAGAGTTGAAACAAAAATTGGTAAATAGAATCTAATTTAGGAATTATGAACCACCTTTAGTTATCGGCACATTATTGTTACAAAAAAAAAAAAAAAAATGAAAAAACATAGGTACTTGTAATATTGAAAGGTAAACAGATTCTTTTAGAGCATCTCCAATGTGACTTTTGACATTGCAAAAAATTATCCATATCATCAACTTTTAAAAGTTTATTACTAATTTATTCTCCAATGCATCTTGTCATTAGCTCTTTCATGATGATGTGGATGACATTTAATGTTGACAATGTTGAACTCACTTTCTAATATCTAACACCATGTTAAACATGATGACTCATTAATTCACTTTATATTTAGTTTAATTTTTTATTATTCTTGTATTAATGAATTATTATAATTGGTCCACATATACAAATAAATTCTTATTAAATTGGTGCATTGGAGATACTAGTTAGATTCAAATTTTTAGTCTTTTAACATTATTCATATGTGGATTAACATTACAATCATCAATTGACATGTGTTAAAAATTATTGCCTTTCAAAACCATAACATTGGAGATGCTCTTATAGTCAGGATAAATCTTAGGGATAATCTTTTTGTAATTTACCTATGGTGAAACAGCTAAACATCTTCTCGAGAGCCGATGAAAGTTCAGGATAGCTGCAGTAAGTTTTGAGATCAATCTTCCTCAGATAAGGGGCACCATCCATGCTAACCTTCACATACAGGCAAACTGGTCCCGATTTACCGGCCTCTTCATTTTTGGGTAAATTAGTAGCTAAGGTGTTCTTTCTGAAAGATCTAATTGGTGGCCATCCAACTACTTGTGCCCTGCAATAGAAGTAATGTGAATAGTTAAAAAAAATGCCCAAGTCTATCAACAGCAAAAAATAACATCTTCGAAGATACATGGAAAGCATGTCGATAAATTTAGAAATTAAATCATGGAAAGCATGTCGATAAATTTATACTCGACTGTAAACGGAATAATACTACAGTGGATAATATTAACAAGAGGAAACTAAAGCATAAGAGAAATATTCTTGGACAGCTTACACAAGAAGCAGACTTTGCTCAAGGATTTCTTACACAGAGCCTCAATAGTTCACAGAGCAAACACTGTTCAATACTTTTGTACAGCAACAAGAGATAAGGAAAATTATGAGAACAAAAACAGCCAAAAGGAAAAAAGGGGACAAAACACACGCTTACCAGAACCAACCACAGATAAACAAACCATTTACAAGTTTATACAGACATCATCACAGATTCACAAGACAAAACAAGAATATTGCATCAAATGAGGGGCAAACAGAAAAAGAAAAAAAAAAACGAAATAGAGAACTCACTTTGCAGCAGGGGCATTACTGACATTTTCACTCTTCTTCTCCTCAGCAGCCTTCACAGGAGCAACAACCTCCTTCACAGAGCTCCCAGCCAAACTGCTCTTCGGCGAAAACAAGCCATCACTTTTTCCCAAATTACCCTCAGATCCGCCATTAATACCCAAACCCCACTTCCCAGAACCATTTATTGCATCAGAAAAACCCCTCTTTGCCCCCGCAACAAAATTCTTGGAAAACCCATTGCCATTATTGCTCTCATCCTTCAAATCCTTACCGAAAATAGAAACCCCAAAACCAGCCTTCCTCTCAGGGGACTCCGAGCCTGGCAACCCGAGCCTCAACTCGGTTTCTTTCAAATTCAGACCATTCCTTTTCTCGGCTTTCTCGAGTGTTAGAGGCTCGCACAAGCCTATGTAATCGTGTTCTTGAGGTATAGACATCAAAAAGGAATAATTTTTTTTTCCCCTTTTGCAGCTCAATGTAGAAACTCTGAAGAAAAAAAATGGATTTTTTCTTTTGGGCTAGGCCTTGAATGAACAAGAAATACTCGAGAGGTTTTTTATATTTCGGTTCCTCTTTTTAGTGCTTTGGGCACCTAAAAAAGAGCGCTGGTTTTTTGTTGAGGTAGAAAAAGAAGCTTCTTTGGCCTTTCTGTAGGCTTTTTTTAATGTAAATAAAAAAAATGGGGGCTTTTTATTTACTGCAGAAAATAATCATGGGGCATAATAATAATATCTGAATTGTACAAAGGTAAAAGAATTTTGTTGGAATAAACATAAATGCAATGGTGCAGGACAATTATTCTGCTTGCTTTTTTCTTTTTCTTTTTGCCCTTTTAAATCAGTAGAATAAGACCACAGTTTATTGAGTACAGTTTCCAGGAGGCAGGAAAACAGTATGTAATTAATTTTTGCGAAAATTAAAATTATATGCATGATTAATTCAGGCAAAATAGCGGGTGGGCTACATTTATTTTCTTTCCTTATTTAATTTTCTTTGAAAATTACATTGTCAGAACAGTATAATTAGAATTCCTGTTTCAATCCAACTATCCGCAAATACAATTCTACACGTTTATTAAAAAATAAAATATCGAGATCGATTTTGTTCTGTTGATTAAATGAGTCGATGACGGGTTGAGTTTGTTCATTAAATCGAACTTGTTTGCGAACAAGTTTTTTAAGTGAAATAGTTAAATCAGACTTATTCATTAATAGTTATTTCGTGTTTGCAAACAACTCGTTTTAAGTATTTATTAAAAAAAACGAGCCGAACTTTCTTGAGGTTAAGGAAATCGAGGTGAAGCCAATTTTTTTTCATTTATTAAACGAACTGAATCGAGTCGACTCATTTATTAAATGAGCACGAGATCATTCATGAGCTAATCTGCTATGTTAATGTCGAACGAATAACAAGTAGAACTTGTATTATGGCATTGTTGTTTGACAATTAGTGGATACAAATCACTAGTAGTTAATTATATCTATAGAAAACATATTGTATTAGATAGTTTGACTAGCATATTCCGTTAACGGATTTTGAAATAAGTGTTTGACAATTAGCAAAAAATTATAGTTCATTAATTGTTTTTATTTTATAATAATCCCTTCCGACAATGTTATCATTTTAATTTTGGTACTTTTTAAGAATTAACATTTTTTACTCAAATAATTAATCTAATAAATTAATTACCAAATAAACTAATTCACCAATTTGATTGATTAATTTAAACTTTAAAACGAGATCCAATCAATTCTTGATAAACAAACGAGTCCCATTACACCTAAACATTTTGCAACATACACCTTTTCTTTAAGAAAAAGAAATTATACAATTCCACAATTCGTTTAATAAAAGAAAAATATATTTGTACCAATAAAAAAAGAAAAATATATTTTAACGTAATCATTGTCTTAACCCTAATTTTCTTTTGGCATTAATTTAGAATCGAAAAATGAAATTACTTAAAACTTTATTGGACAAACTTTGGGGAAAAATCGAGGAAAAAAAAAAACAAATGAACATAATATTTTCATTTGTGTCTCGAGGTGGGGCCCGGCATAGAGACATGATAATGTCCTTTGCCACTTTTTTTAAAAAAATACTGAATAATAATATTATACTCACCCGACAACTCACACCAAAGATAAAGCCCACTTCCCTTTTCATCATTACACATCGTAATTAAATTAGGACTATAAAATTATTTTTCTAATTTCGTAATCAAATTTAAACACAGCAGATTGTTAAGCGGCCGTTTGGGTTTGTCTAACCTGCGCGGGGACAGCGGCGGCGCAGGTTAGCGGGTTAGGTCAAAAAGATGCCAAACCGCACGGTATCGAACGATAGAGAAAGCTGAGAGGAAAAGCAGCGAGGATCAACTGCAGGGGACAGCGATCAATCAAAAATACGCACACAATAAAATAAAATAAAAAATTTATTTAAATAATAAGTAGATAAATAAATAAATTGAAAAAAGGAAAAAAAATATATATGGAGTTGGAAATTATTTCAAGAATTTTAAATATCAGAAAATAAGGAATTAGTAATTTAAATCAAGAAATGAAAAATCATAGCATGTTTCGAATAATTTGGGATGTCAATTCAGCTAAAGTGGTTGACAAATTCTCGCTTGACATGATTTAACGGTTAGACAAATCGACTCATCGTACTGTTTAAATAAAAGATACATATTTGTATTATGAAATATTATTTTTTATATTATATTATTTTTTAATATATGAAAGTTCACTTTGAAATATAGATTACAAGAAGCTTTTGTATATCTTCTCTAGTAAACGAGTCTAAAAAGTTAAATGTCAATTGAGAAGCTGATGAACTATATATAAAATAAAACGATTATCTCGACTTGATTCACTCTTATTTGATTTTATTACTATTTGACATCCATAATTTGACTTTGACATTTTTATGAGTAAGAATAAGAATGTCATTGATGGCATGTTTTTGTCCAATTACTTAATTAAGGAATTCATATTTCAAAATAGATAACAACATCGTATAAACTCCAAAAAACATCTTAAAAGATTCACTAAAGGACCTCATATTTCAAACATTCCCCGGCCTTAGGCTACCACTCCATTTTTGCTTTGTCCAAGTCAATATGAACAAATTTTCTCAAAGAATCTTTGAATTCTCATTTTCAATTCTTGATAGAGGGTGGTGCACGTGTTTCTTTTGAAATATATTTCCTAAGTTAGCATAAGTAGTTGAAATGACAATAAAATACAATTATTATTATTATTATTATTATTATTATTATTATTATTATTATTATTATTATATTTATTTTTTTATTGTTAGTGTTCGATAGTAAATATGAGTTAGGTTGTAGTTTTAACCATGGTAGATTAAAATATTGTATGCAGCCACATTAACTGTTACCTAAAAGATTTACTGAGAAAATGAAGATCCAATCACAAAACTCCACTCCCCTCTAAAAATAAAATAAAGCAAAATAATTGGCATCAAGTCAACAAAATCTAACTAATTGATTCCCAGTACAAGTTTTTCAAAATAGATCAAAACACGGGGATACGAAGCAATTAAACAAACAATTATTGTATAGTTTTTCATTCTTTTCCTTTTTAATATATGTGTTGAAAATGAAAAAAAAAAATAGTAATAACATAAATGTAAATAAATAACAAACAAAATTGACAGACATACATACAAAACAAACAGTATTAAAATATGATAGAGAATCAAAGTGATTGATCACATGTGTGTCTTCAGAAAAACGATCTTTTGGAAAGAAGAGGACAAAACAATACTTGAAGAAGACATTCAATCGAGAATCCATATATATATATATATATATTTTTTTTTAATTTTTTACAAGTTAATCATTTTTGTAAATATTTACAATGGAGTACACAAATTTAACGATTTTACAATGAATCAAAACTTCAGACTTTCATCCTCCAACATCGATTGTTTTCAATTCTTCATTAATCATTACTTACATTTTAACTCCCATTAACCTAAGCACATTTTTATGTGGCCAAAGGAAGCAATTCTATCTAACCACCTTATTTTACACACCATGATCGAGACAAGAGGTAGAAATTAATTAAAACCAAAATTATAATAATTCATATAAATCAGACAAAAAAAAATATTATTTTAGGAAAACAGTTTGTACTCTTTCTGTCTGTTACCTCATCTGGACAGATAAAAAATACTAATGCTTTTGCACAGATTTTGTTGGGTTTCTTTGTTTCATCCTTTTAACCATGCCTCAATCTACTGTCATTATTGGGTAAATCCCAAAAGCAAAACAAGCGTGCGGATTAAAACCGATGGTTTATGGACAGCATGATTAAATCGAAGGATTATGTTGGATACACGTTATCATTGCTCTATTTAATTTTAATACTATATAGTACTTCTTATTATCATAGACGGCGTCAAGTGGCCGTGTTGACTGCCGTCAACCCGCCATCATTAGACCTTTGACCCTACTGTTTAAAGATTTTCAGTTATTTAATTTATCTTGGGCAGACTATAATTAAACCAAGATCCAAATAATTAATTGAAACAATTATTAATAACGAAGAATCCTTGGATTTAAAAAAACGAGAAATCATAATGAAGAAAATATATTATATTAATACTGATGTGAATCCTATAAAATACTTACGAGTTTTGGGTCATTTAGAATTATTAAATTGTGTACAATGGTAAAAATTGAAACGAAGTAACTTTTGCGTTCGAGCTCAAAATCGTTGTTATAATATAATTTCAAAACCAAATGAAAATTTTGATTGATCTAATCTCGGTTTAGCTCGATGAATTAGGTGGTCATATAGATTCAAAAATCACATTTTGCAACATTTTGTAGCTATTTCGTATTTTTATTTATTTTCTATTTCGTTATGGTTTGAGATCTTTATATATAAACACTTAAAACTTTATTATGAGGGATCGAGACTTTATATTTATTTTTTTATAATACTTCTTTCGTTTATTAGAAATACTATATGGTACGTTACATGGAGGTTAATTTCAGTAGTTCCTTGAAAAGAAAAAAAAAAATGTAAGTTAAAAAAGTACATATATGTATAAATAATGAAAGCGAACAATTTTTTTTTTTAACAAATTTCACCACCATAATAATTAGTGGCTTCACCACAAATTACAACATATGCTTTTAATTTAATTTGAAAAGCATTAATAGTGGTACTTGAAGTCTCTCATTCAATGATTGAAGCAGCTATATAAATATATAAAAGTGAGGCGTGTTTTACGAAGATGGGACCTAGCATTTTTTTAGGCTGAATCAAAGTTTAAAATTGTTTTTTTTCTTTATTCCTTTAATTTTTGGGGCCATCCTATACTTTCCACACGTGACATTATAAATCAAATTAAACGAGTTTTGTTAAAAGACAAAGCTTGTTTAAATAGTATCGACTGACCCATTGTAAGACAACGATCTTTTAAAGTAATTACTCAATGCAACTTGCCTCACAGTTAAAGGAGTTATAAACCAATATTAGCACTTCCCGAGCTGAATCAAACTTAATAAATGAATTGAACTCGAATCTCAACAAGTTTAAAAAGTTTAGCAAATTTAAATATGAATTTTTATTCTCTAACTTTGACGAGCAAATTTGTTTAACAAACGAACCGAAACAAACTAATCACAAATAATTCGTTTCATTTACAAGCCTACTCGTTATATTACAGAATTAGAGGTAAATATTAGTGAAGTATTCAACATTATATTAAGTTGCCAATAATTCATTTCACTATTAATAACATGGCCACTGAACGTACTTAATTATTTATCTAACTTTTCGTTTCTTTTATTTTTTTAATTAATGGAATAAAAATTGTAAGGTGTTTCAGCTTCAAAAGATTCATAGCGGTACTCATTTCGTTTCATATTGTTAACAAGACCTTACAAGCTAGGAGCCTTCAATTTCAATAAGCACTACTCATTTCATTCTGTTGAAAAGAAAACAAATAAATAAATAAATAACTGATTTTCACAGTAAAATTATCAATTTTATATAATTCATTAATTTTCTCTAAGTTTTTTTATTTGAACTAATGAATTTGATAATGTTTATGCAATTGTCATGCTAGTGGCGTGAAGCCGAAAAATTAGATATATTTGTTTCACTTCATATTTCATCTAATTAGATGAGTGATTATGTTACGAGTTTATATCAAATTAACCAAGCTTTTTTCCACCAATCCACAAAATAAATAGCAGGTAACTTTAATATTTATAACACGATTATTTCATCATTTCTTTAACCATAAATAATAATAAAAACCATACACACACGCTGGTGAAAACAAGCTGTATTAGTATATATTTACCTTCACCAACAAGATATCATCATAACTTATGTAGCTAGACACATTAATGATACAAACTACACAATTATTCACCATAACATTCAAAGTTTAGCTATGCATGCAAAAAGAGTTAGATTGATTAATTTGGAAATCACCATTTGTTATCTAGACAGAGTTTATAAAGGTTGTTAATTATGTTTTGCCGAAAGTAACATAAGTGTGATAGCCACAGTTTATATCGGCATGATCTATATCTAGCTATATATCTTATATTGAGCAGACATCTTTAATCATAATTTACAGCTCTATGCATCATACTATTTTAATAAATATATATTTTCATACTTAAATGTCATATATATTATCAAATACAATATAAATAAAAATATGATATTTTAAAATTGTGCGGTTATGGTTGAATTGCTAACATCAACACCAGTAAGAGCATCTCTATAGACTCTAGCACATTATATATTTTGATATATATGGTATGGAGGAAGAAAATGAAGAAAATATCTTTCCAACTAATGTTAATTGTGTATGGCAATCAAATACAACAATATATGATGAGACGTTCCAAGCTTTGATATAGAATAGCAATAATAATAACATTCTTGACTATTATTTTTATTCTAAAAATGGAGCTTACATATGATATAAATTAAATAAACCGAATTCAAAAATTATACAATCTTAATATATATAAACAGGATGGAATGTGATAAAGAAGTATGATCTAATTTTGGAAGATAATTATTGATTTTTATATTGGTGGTAATATTATGAGTAATATGTGGAATAAAAGCTTGGAGTTAGTAAAAGATATATAAGCAAACACTTGCAAGTGGGCCGGAATTTATAATATTTTGAATACGGTCACTTTGTTGAAAATATTTTGCAATTTGAATGACTGACTTAATGCGGTGAGACGTGACATATTGAGAAATAGATATGATGTAAGAGGAATATCGCCATTTCAATTTGTCGAGCTATCGTTTAAAGCATTATATTATATTTAAATTAAAAATATTTACTCTAAGTATCAATTCATAACATCTGTTAAAAAAATATTTACTCTTAACAATAGTTTATCTATACAAAATCATTAATTTTTTAAGCCAATACAATAACTGTGTAATAAAGTAGGGTGAATGAATGTACTATATATATAAAAGATATATGCATTGCCATAATAATTCTAACATATTTTTAAAAAAATTAAGAATATTTCAAACGATTTATATACAAATCTAACAGAGCATTCTACAAAGATGGCCAAAGAAAAAGAAAAATAATGTAAAACGAAAAAGGATGAAAATGAAAGACAAATATGATTTAATTGAACATGAAAGAGATAATATAAAAAATGTAGTTTGTTTTTATCCAACAAAAATTAGGATAGGTTACAGGACAAATATGGTCTATTAATATGTAGTATTAGATACTCCTTTTTAACATTTCATTTAAAAAATATTAAAAAACTGGGAAACCTTTTATTCCACATTTATAAACGAATATTTAAGAAGTTGGGCATGGGGATGCACAAATGTCAAAATAGTTTGATTATTGCCAATTGAATGGACTAGAAAGAGTCAAGCGTGCTTGGTTAGTATTATTTAAAAATTATAGTTTAATTATAACATTTAAAAAATTAAATATTTATATTTTTTTATTTTACAACTAAAAAAATAATTGATAAAAAACAGAGAAAATAAAATAAAATTTAAACCATGAATCTAAATTATAATAAATAATTTAATTTTATATTTATAATAATATATATATATATTCAATGTCTTGCGGGTAAACGAATAGGGTAATCGGGTCGAATTTTTTTTCTACCATACTCGAACCAGACCCGACCCAGGAACGAGTAGCATAATTCTACCCGAACCCAATCCGAAACCCAATCATCTCGGGTTAACCCGACCCTGCGGGTAACCCGACCATGCGGGTTTTATTGACATGCCTACCAATGACTTGCAAAACGTCGGGAGGGGTCCCGGCGGAAAAGGCTCTGACGTTCAAGTCAATCCGTGTTCAATTATAATATAACAATAGTATAATTTGCGCGTGTATATATGTGTGTTGTATAAAAACAAATGATCGGTGTCCTCTTTTATAGTTACATTTGTGGGATATCCTAGGGACTCCTGGTAGGACAAGAACTCTCTTCGTATCGTCCTTCTTAGCTAACCGTATCTTCCCGTATCTGCAGTCTTCTAGATGATGTATACTTCCCATATTTAAGGGATTCGGTTTCCTTCTAGTAAGGCTTTTCTGGCTCTCACAGCCATGGAGGTCGTCACCAAACCCGAGGGTCCCGAGGTCGTCGCTAGACCCGAAGGTTCCGAGGCCGTCACCAGATTGGGGATCTTGAGGTCGTCGTTCTACACCTCAATCTTGCTGCACTCTGAGCTACAATCATTGAGGTTAGGCTAACATGTATCACTGACCTAACATGTCCTCAAGGTCATGTCGAACCAGGTAGGCGCCCATGCTACTCACAGCTCGTCAACTCGTCACGCGCTAGCACGTGGATCACTCAGACGTCCTCTTTCGGAGGTTGGCCCTTGTACGGCCAATCCCGCTCGCACCCGGCCTAGCATTTACCCATGTCGAGCTGAGACACCGTTGGTCCTTGCGACCAACACTATCCTACATCAAATGTACCAAAAACTAAACTAAGCTCATTGAAAAATTAAAATTGAAACTATATTAGTTGATTTTCGGCTTTCTCTAATATGTATTTCCCAAAATTAATTATCCTAAGGTTCCAAACTTTTCATAAGTCTTGATTGAATTCACTATGCGCATTCTTAGACCATCTCCAGCCTTTTATTCTAAATATCTAGTTTCGTCTCCAGTTGATTGCGCTACGTACATTTTATTCTACATTAAATATATTATTTTTTTACTAATTTTTCATTTCAAATAAATTTTAATATATATATATATGAATATTTAATTTTATATAATTTTTTTTCACATGTTCAGTAGATTTTTAAATAATTCGAATTTTAACCATGTGTTTGTTTATGTATTTTATGATTAATGTGTGTGCTAAATTTTCTTTTAATGAAATATTCTTGTTTTATTGTGGTAAATTTTTATTCATATTGTACCGTGATGTTAAAAAAATTGCAAAACAAAATTATGATACATCACTACATAAAAGCACAAAGTTATTTAAGATAATAAAGACATTTACTAATACACACTATACAAATATTTACCTAAAATTGTATTAAATTAAACCTAATTATTTACCAAAAAAAAAAAAAATGTAGAGATGTGCTACAATGTTGAGCCTATTTGTATATCTGATATACCGAGCAAACCTTGCTATGGGTTGGAGGAGATTTTATCTCCATTCTAGCTCAAATTATATATGGCGATTCGCTGGAGTAGGTCTTACGTCCATCATTATAAATTTACATCTGAGAGTAATTACTCGATTAGTAAATAACTAATAAACTAACGAACAAACAAGTCGATATGTCCGAGTGGTTAAGGAGACAGACTCGAAATCTGTTGGGCTTTGCCTGCGCAGGTTCGAATCCTGCTGTCGACGCTTTATTTATTTATTTTTTTTTTACAGTTTTCTTTTTAGTTTATAGAATAGAAAATCAGTATAGCACACTATTTTTATTCTACAAACCAAAAGAATAACTCTTTGGGCCAGTAAAATTTCATCTTAAAATACTCACTCAGCCCAAGTCCCTCAACGACAAATATACAATAGAAATAGCAAGTTTTGGGCTTTTGACACATAGTCCAAACAATTGGGTTTTGTTAGCCGGAGTTTTTAAACTAAGCTAGATATCTTCCTTTAATATAATTTGAAAACGTCCTCTCGGAACCTCTAATAAAAAAATATTTGTTTATTTATTTTCTTGTTTGGAGCAGGAGTTTCGCCTGGAGAAGGGACAGGTGCCACAATGTCGGATGATGAGGATGATCAATTGGATGATAGTGATATGAATTTGTTCGATGGAAGCTTTGATGGTGCTGACAGTATGGGATTTGGTCCTTTGATCCCAACAGAGAACGAGAGATCTTTAATGGAGCGTGTAAGACAAAAACCAACTTGAAAATCGTGTTGCAATGGAGATTTGTGTCTTTTATTTATTTTAACATCTATTAATTTCGTATAATATAATTATAATATATTTACTTTTGTTATTTGATTTAAACATAGATATCATTGCCGAGGTCATCAAAATTGATGAAGTCGTTAAGTACGAACGAGGTGGTCATGAAACGACTAGGCTTAACACATCTCGGTAACTTGACGTTAGTAGTATTTATTATTTATATCTTTTTTTAGTCACATTTGTATCAACTTAATCGATTATAATTATTTCATTGTCTTTTTTGAAGTGGAGAAACTATGGAATGTACACTGTGGAACCAATTTGCTATTCAAATGCTTGACTTCTGGAAGTCCAAAAAAGATGAGCCGGTTGTCATTATTCTCCACTATGCTATGGTTAAACGATGGGGAGGTACTTCTCTTTGTAATTCATTTTAAGTTCTATAAAATAATTTTTCACATTATCATCTCTAAAATAAAAATAATGAAATGAGAGCCTGTAGCCGCTCGCAATTTATTTAATAACTCATAAAGCAAATGGTTGTGTGATTTATGTAAATCTCAAAGAATTTGTGTGAATCATTAATGCTTTCGGTTTCTAAAGGTAATATAATATATATTCCTATCATCCTATAGCCGAGTGAACTGAAGCATGTACATATTTTGTAAGTTTGTTCACAGAACCACTAGAAAAGTCAAATAAATTTCAAAGAAATAGAAAAGAAAAGGAATATTCATGTAGACAGTTGTTTTTAATTATGACACTGGTTTTTGCTTATTTTGAGAAAATTGAAAATATTGTCCCATAAGATTAATTGCAAATTTAGTTTTAATATGTGAAAAACGTGATCATTTAATTGTTTGTCTGCTACATCTAACTCATTTATTATATTTACATAATCTTTTTTACAATGTAATTTTGTATGTGCATTTAATTGTTTGTCTGCTACATCTAGCTCATTTATTATATTTACATAATCTTTTTTACAATGTAATTTTGTATGTGCAGCGCAAGTGAATTTACAAAATTCACATTTTGCAAGTAAATTCATAATAAATGAAGATATGGATGAGATAGTTAAATTCATGAAGAAGTATGTATTGGATAATTATTTATTATTTATTATTCATTCTTAATGGACGAATTATTTATTATTCATTCTTGATTAATTCCTAACTTCTTTTTAGTTTGGAGGAAATGCCCAAACCTAATTCAGAGCACCCACAATGCTTTGTGTTTAATTTTACCTATGTGGCATATAAATAGACGTAAGTCTTAAATGACACGGACAAACTAAAGTAAAAAAATTCAAAAGCTATTCAATGCAAAAACAAAGTACTAGATTTAGCATACATGTCAACCAATAAAAATGATCTAATATGGTTTCTTTATTAAAAGAAAAATTAAAATAAGAATAAATGATGAGTGCTTGGGTTTGTACTTGAGTCCAAAATAGACCCATGTGTGGACTTAGTCTTTTTTTTATTGACACATAAGCTAGACTATGTCCACTTTTAATTGCATTGTGAAACACTTTTTTATAGACTATGTTTATTTCCTACATGGCATGTGATTTTTTGTTAAGAGATCCAAAACATTGTGGGTGCTCTCAGTATCATATTCTTAACGAGATTATTGCACTAATGTATCGGTTTCTGTTAATGGGGACTTCCCCACAAATTTGGAGTTCAAAACCATCAGTGATTTGCAAGCTATAAATGAAGTAAATACTAGCAATACTATGGACTTTGCTTCTATTGATTGTGTTTATCTCTTATTAAGATATATTCTTATTGGCCATTTTTAAATATGTATTTAAATTGTGTTTATCACTGATTAGGTTACTTGTTGTATGAGTGTTCATGTGTTGTTTATTGAGATTGCTTTTCAAGTTTCAACGAAGACAATTTCCACTTATGGTTTGTTTTGCAATGACTATTAATAAGAGTCAAAGACAGACATTGTCTAACGTCGAAAGGCTTGAAAATTCTGTGTTGCGATAAGGATGGAAAAATTATAAATAAAACTATTAATGTTGTGTAGAAATAAATTTTTCAAAATTTAAAATAATATCGACTTTGGTATTTTCTATTTTTGCACTTTTATACGACAATATATGTGTACTTAGAGTACACATGTGTCGTACTAGTATATTATTAAGAAATGATCTGTGAAATTCATTTATTACAGTAAAGCTAATCATTTCGAGAAATCCAAAAATCAAAATTACTTTGTTATAAGTTATACAAATAGGCCCTCACTTTAGAATAAACAAATAAATCAAAGANAGAATACTCGGCAACACACTCAAAACAAACACACAAAACAACGACAAAAAAACAACACAAGACCCCAACAGGGTAATTCCCGAGTGTCGGACCCCAACAGAGTAATGAAAATGACACTCGGGTGCACAGAGGCCAACGGCCCAGACCTAAAACACAACGACAAACACAAACACAGAAACTAACACTCTAGAACAACATACCAATTTACAACAAAACTAGAAAATGAAAACACAGCTATATTAACAAGCCCTTCCACAGCAATTCAGTCAGCTTGAACCAGCGGAGGACAGTCTATATCAGAGGATAATCTAAGTCCAGGGACGGCTCCCGAAACTGCCACAAGGCCTATACAAGAAGTCGAGCCCGAACACAAATCACACTCCAAAACGACCCGCCTCAACCGAAAGGACAACCAAACACGCACCCACTCTAGCACCTCCCGAGCACGCCTAACACCACTAGCCGAGCATCGGAGCACCAGATTTCCGTCGTCTAACACCACTAGACCAAACGGGGGACTGTTCGGGCCCTCAGGTCCGACTCCCGTCAGAGCCCCACCCCGCCTCTCAACCCACGACCCATCCAATAGAACCGCAGACCACCGGCGACCGGACTCGTCAACCCCGAACGGAGATCTGCCGAAAACAGGACCGCTCGAGATGGCCCTCCGTTGGCCCTCCATTCTCGCATAAAATCAGAAATCGAAACAGGAACGGGGGAAAAGGACAGCATACTCACCTCCAATCGAAGGCCGGCGGTCACCTGCAAGCCGAACGACTACCACGGGCTCGCCGCCTCCTAACGCTGCCACTAGACCGGCGAACCAAGGCCGAACCAGTCCGATTCCAAAGGCAAGCCGCGAAGCGCTGAATGACCGGGACACAGAGGCGGGGTGACGGTTGAGGTCGTCCGCCGGCCGGCGCCGCCCTTTTGCCGAGGAAGGCGACTCAATTCGACGGGGATTGAACCTTTAGAATTTGGGGATTTTGGGATTTTCTCTCACTAGCGGGGGGAAGAAGGGTTTACGACCGTAGCTTCATTTGTTCAATCAAAGAGTACTTAAAGTTATGTGTAAATACACCAATTACGAAATTGATTTACATAATGTAGATGTTTTGGGAAGTCTCTCCCCAAATTACAAAAATGCTTTTGTTTTTCCATCAATAATTATTTTATATTTATTTTTATTTTTGAAACCAACACTATTTATCCTATCTTAGCCAGATTTAAACTTGAAATATAATTATTCAATTACTTAATATGACTTATAGAAAGAAGGATAAATTAATCTTTTCTTATTTGTGTTAATTCAGTCTCGTAGCTGGTTAATTTGATTTCAAAATTTATAGTTGGTTAATAATTTATATAATTAAATAAGTGTCCACAAAAAAATACTTTAGATTTATGCTTTAATAGTTAATCTATTTAAAAAATAAGTTAAAAGAAGAGAAAAGAAAAACATCGATTGGATATATATATATATATATATATATATATATATATTCAATCCTTTTCATTCAAACATGATTTATCTTGTTGAAACTAAGAAAATATCAAAATATTTTCATAAGAATATTATTTATTTCATTTCACATTTATCTCAGCAAGTAGCACCATTAAAACATAAAAAAGTTATTATTATTTTATAATTTTTAAAAAAATAATATGTCATTAAATTACATCAATTTTAATCATCAATACATTTTTACCTTCTATTCAATCACAACTTCAAATCTTTCATATCATTTTTTTATTTAAAGATTCATACACAATCGCAACTTATACTGAGATTTTTTATTTATTTATTTATTTATAATTTCATTTTAGAATTCAAGTGGTTAGTTTAAAAAATAACTTAAGCCACATTCATATAAATTTCTAGATCCGCCCATACCGTGTATGTACACACTATAAATCTATGCGGCTTATAATTGGAAATCATAAATAATCTTTTTTATCAGAGATTATATTCTTATTTGTGTAAAATAAACACCAGTGGGATGACTACCATCTTTTTGTTCTTTGTTTAGCTAAGGTCAATTACAAGAAAATGACAGCCACATCAACGTAGAAAACTCTAAAGGCAAGCTTTTCTTCAAATAATGCTCTAAAACTAATTTAATTCTCATGACGTCCTTCAAATTAGTTAATGTTTTTTTTTTTTTGAAAAAAAAAATCTCTTTGCAAGAAATTTAGTAGTCAAGTGAAAACCTTCGTAATTATTAATTACCTTCACACTAGTACGAATCCCGTGCGATGTACGGGTAAGAGTTACATGTTAATATTTATATTAAACGGTGGGGTATACGTTAATAACATAACATGTAGAGAACTAAAGTAAAACACAACCACACGTATGTCTATATATTTGAAAATACAATAAAAAACATAACCATTTGCTTTTGAAAATCTATATTGTCAACATCTTGCTGTGTAGAAAAATTACAGAAGTAAAAAAAAAAACGTTGAGAAATCGGTAGGATACTCCAACACTTTGCAGTAATAGATTGTTATTTACCAATGTTACTTTCTACCATCCTCAAACTTGTCACTCTTCTTTGCAATGTTAACGTCACGAATTAGTCCAGTTATGCGGCCACCCTGTAAAATCGCAATATAAAAATAATATTTTCGTAAAAAAATATTAACATAATAAATATTGAAAACTACTATTAAATCACATAATGAAGAATACTAACATCACTATCGTGGAAAACTATTTCCAAATAACTTCTGTAAGAGGCATCAAACATCGTCTTAAGGATGCTGCTGGAAGTTTCAAGATGACCTTCGTATTTCATTTAAAATCCTTGATTAGATCAAGGGTTGATCCATGCCTTTATTTTGAATGTGTGAGTTTATGATTAGTATTGGATTTCATTTTACCAAGAATGTGAGTTTATTTATAGATGAAATTTTGGTGCATATATATGCACTTATTTTCTAAGTTTTAAAATGTGGATTTATATGATATAAGATTATTATTTGATTTGATTTTTATCACTCAAAGGAAATCTCATTGAAATCCAACAATGGCCATGTGAAGAACCTAATATCAGCAAAATCAAACAACATATCAGTTTACGCGTAGAACCATTTGTGCTGCTCTAGCCTCTGCCGACCTAATATCAACAATGGCCATGTAAAGGACCCAATCTCCAGACTCCGAAACTCGGCCTCTGACATAACCTCCATCCTCCTCCCGAACACCTGGTTCACATCGTGCCTCTCCCGACCCTTGACGGTGCCTCCTTCTTTCACCGCCTTCACGGCCCTCTCAGTTTCCCCTATAAACCATTTCCAGACAAAATCGTGTTTATAAATAAAAAGCTTCGAATTTTTGAGAACAAAAAAATAAAAAATAAAAAATGGCCATGGTCATTACCATTTGGCCCAACTGAAAAATAACCCAATCACAAAAGTAAATCTTATTTCAAGCTATAACATATAAGTGTGAGGTTAAGTTATCTTACCAACAACATCATAAACAAAGTCAAATTTATCAGGCTGGTCCTCATACTTCTCCTTAATGTAGTCAATTGCCAAATCAGCCCCCAAACTTTCAGAAATTCCAACTTCGAAGTGCTGGTTATAGCTGCAACCTTAGACGCACCAAAAACGTGTTTGGCAATCTGCATTAATCTATGAATAAATTCTCATACGTTCGAAGCTATGGCTGCATCTCAATTAAGCATTTGCATAGAATTATCAACATAAATGAATAATGAACACAAAGAGCTCCTCAAGATCTATTTTTATTAATTTGAACTTTACTTGAATGATGAATGACCCAACACCACCGGCTCCACCGAGCACGAGTAATGATTTGCCCTTAGAAAAACCGTACTTTTCGAGCCCTTCATAAGCTGTCTCTAGGGCAAGAGGCAAGGCAGCGGCTTGCACAAAATCGAGATTCTTGGGCTTGTGAGCTAAAAGCTTCTCTTGAGCAGTTGTGTACTCGGCTAAGGAGCTGAGCTGTTTCGGCTCAGCATTTGCCTTCTCGATAATGTCTTCATAAACTTCGTCTCTTTCTTTAAATTCCTTCACATTGCTCCCTACTTTAACGACGATGCCAACCACATCATAACCGGGAATAGTCTGCAAACAATAAATAAATAAATTGGAACTTGACAATATTTTAATCCACGAGTAGCAGGCTAGCAGCAACACATTTCCAAGAAATTAAAAAACAAAGAAGAAATAAATCAATTACGGGGAAAAAAAAAAAGAAAGTGGAGGGCTCACCGGGAAAGGAGAATCATTATCCTTGAAATATCCAAATCTCCTCTTGAAATCGACCAAGTTAAAGGCGGCGGCGACAACCTTAATCAAGACCTCATCGTCCTTCACCTCCGGAATCTAGGTTCTGCCCGTCGCATAGCGGCGACATCACACAATACCGCAAATGTTTTCCCGACAATCAAGACATTCATCTCAACACACGGAACCTCACAGAACTCCAAGAAACCGTAATCACTCGGTATAATCAAATCCAAATCTACAATAAACGGGACGCCAATAATCAAATCCACAGACAATACAGATATTATTGAGAAATCTTGCAAAATATAAAAAAATCACGGGTACTCACCGGCGATGCAGTGGAGAGTCCCAAAACATGTTGAAATTCGAATAGTGATGATCGAATCAAATACTGGCGCTCAGATCTAACAGTTCAGAAACTGATAGGTCGAAAATTGTGCACGTATTATATATTTAATAGTGTATTTTTATACACTTAATTTATTTGCACGTTTATATTTTTCAATTTATTTATTATTTGGATGAATTCATGTACTTTGATATTTTATTATCTATTTTCAATAATTTGAAGGATATTCGGAGATGTCATTGGATAAGACCCGTAGTGTTGGATAATCGGCCCGAGAAGAAGGATTTGGGCCCAAAATAAAGTAGAAATTATTTGGGCCCAAAATAAATCAGGCACTTGACAAAACCACGCAGTGCAAGCATTAATTTAGGCATGGAGAATTATTTGAGGGAAGTGGAATTATTTTCTAATGAAAACAAAAATGCCAAGATGTATATTTTGAGTAGGACTCTCCATTCACACGCAAGGAGGAGAATTATTATTCCTGGAGAGCATTCCACATTGGCATACATTTTTTTTAAAAAAGAAAAGCGGGGACATTATTTTTTTGAAGAGAAGAAAGTAAACAGAGGACACGCTGAGATCCACGCAAGGAAAAGGAGAAAGAGGTTACACACGCGGAGGGAAGCCGCACCGTACACGAGGGAGATATTTTATTCTCTCTTTTATTCTTTATTTATTTTTATTAGTATGTTAGGCTATAATCTTTATCCAGTTTAAGGGGATGTTTGAACCCTAATTTCGATTTGTCTATGAATTGAATGATCTATTTCTTATCGTTGATTAATCGAGACACCGTATTTATTTTGTCGATGAGTTGATTCATGTTATCTGTGTATCGTGTTCATGAATTATGGTGTTTAATTTGGTTTGACCAACTACGTTAAATATTCATAGTTTAATTGCTAGATTCGAGGCTTTAATCCGTAATTGTTATTGTTCTCGTTTCGTTACTAGTAAACTAGGGGTCGTGCATCTCTAGGGTAGCGTGAACATAAGTTAAACGGTCCGAGCTTTTGCGTCCGTTGCTTAGACTGATCTATTATCCTAGGAATTAATGCTGCTAGTGAATTAAATCTAGAAAACTTATTCTAGGTTGTCCACTAGTTAGGTTTAGTCGAAGAGCTTATTTCGATTAAATATTCAGTAAGGGAAAATTCGGTTAACAGAACTTGTTGTTAGCTAGGGTCGGTAATTCATTAGCAATTTAAAGAAGGTGTCGAAATTAATTAACGGTAGATTGAGATTGGGTGATAACGGAACCGAAATCTGGACTTCTCTTATTTTATTAGATTTTTATTTTATTTTCTTATTTTTATTTTTATTTTTATAAAACCAATCCCCCCCATCTTTTATTGCTTTCCTAGTTTAATTCAATTAATACGAGATTGTCACAATTTAATTCCTACTCCTCGTGGGATCGACCCTTACTCGCCACTACTACTAGTTAGTAGGTTAGTTGAGGAAAATTATAAATTTAAATTTGCCGTGTTGTGACGCGCGGTCAGAAACCCTAGCTCATACACCCACTCTCTTGCTATACACACACCTCCAGGCAGCAATATCGATTCAGGAATAATCAGATGATATTCAGAAGCCAATCAATGATGATACACGCCCCTGCGAAATTCATACGAACCGTTACCCACAATATTTCCTAATGGATTTATATGCTCGTGGCTGATTTTTCACTCGCGCGTAGAGATAGAAATGTGAAGAGGGAATATTTTATTGGGATACTTTCTGAGAGAGAGAAATGGCGAAATTTGAAATAGTGATAAAGATCATAAATTTTGGTTACACAGATTTTATCTCCAAACTGCCGTAAAAAGCTCCGATTTTATTTCCAAAGAGCCGAAATAAACAGTCCAAAATTTCAAACTCAATTTAGCAAATGTTAATTAGGCGGGAATTGAAATCTTTTTTTGCTGATTTTTTCAAACAAGTATCATTCCCTCTTTATATATTAACTAGTACATAGCCCGTGCGATGCACGGGGCGCACAATTTTAAGACTATTTATCGAGGCTTATAATTATATACATGAATACATAAAAATGTACAGGACATATATAGTACGTGACCCGTGCGAGGCACGGAATATATTTATTTGAGAAATATTATATTATAAGATGTAATATTCAATAAAAGTTTTATAATACGCAGGAAAATTGTACAATAAGATAGTATTCGTCAAAGAAACAATCATATATTATTAAAGACCTCTTTATACACAACATTATGAGTTTGATTATTGGGCAACTCGTTATTCTCACAAATCAGAACAGATTTTTCATACAATAATAATAAGATTTTTTGTAAAATGATAAGAATGAATTTTCAATCTACACAAACTTTAAACGTTAGATGTATTTACGTAAATCAATAACTATATAGACAACTAAACCCTTCAATTTAGGTTTGACATCTGCTTTAATTATGGGTGACGTAGAATAAAGATTTAATTTTGACCGATTAAATCTTTATTTGTAGGCTTGACATATAAAACCGAATTTATGGGATTTTTTTAACTAAACCGATGTTATGGGATAAAACAAATCTATACTTTCCAGCAAAGGTAAAAGAATCGATTCTGATTTTTATCCCATAACAAATCTTTAATGTCAAGCATATAAATACCAAAACAAATCTGCAATTAATGTCATTCTATTTCCAGCAAGCATTAATTACCTTTAGCTTTTTTCTCTACTATTTCTAGTAAATAGGATGACGTTTTATATAAGTATAGATTTTGTACTTATATTTTGCAATCTTCTCACGTATTTTTCGAATGACTGATGGTTGGATACGAAACAAAACAGGAGACACATGATTTGTTATTAAGAATAAATATTAGTTTGTTATTGATGATAAATAGTTAAATTAATTTCTTTTGATATTTTGAAAAATTAGGTTTATAATTTTTGAAAAACTGGAACGTTTGAGTTATTGATAAATCAAAGAATTCTAAATCAATCCTCTTCATTAAATGCGTTTTTGAAGATACGATAAAATATTTTGGTATATGGCTAGTTAACAAATGAATAAGAAATCACCGTGATTTGTCATTAGTGTTGATAAATAAGATTCAATTGTAACGTCATGATAAATATCATAATAAAATTTCCATAATTGCTTTTTTAATTTTTATTTTGTAATTATATTTGCAATCTTATCGTCTATATTCAAATAAGTTTTTTAAAAATCGAGGTATATTTAATAGACATTTTTCAAATAAGTATGTTTGATTCATATCTAAACAATATAGTATATTTTAGGAACTTGATGATTCGTAACATTACTGGCGTTATGTATATCTATAATATATTGTCATGTACAATACACGTAGCTATAAAGATTCCAAGAACATAGACATTTTTTAGATTTCTTTTCCAATAGTATCGATCTAACCATTAAAAATATAGAAACAACTATAGCTATTTTAAGTTTTGATTGATAAAGAAAAATATTATTTAAAAGAATTCAAACACATAATTAAAAAACAGTATTCTGATTTTAATAATTTATAATTCAACATCTTGATTTATGAAAAATTTATATAAAATAAGTTTTTTTTATGCCGAAATTGCGAGATATGTAGAATATTTTACGTGGATGTGATATGTAGAATTCACATGTACTTTTGGATTCTTTTATGAGGTGAATGTTTTCTATAGAATAGAAATCGAATAGGTAACAAATTCAGTGAATTTTGTACTTTATATAAAAATATTATATTAATCAAATCACATTTTTATATACGACGACTCTTTGGATTAGGTAACAAAAATCTTGCAAGTTTAAATTTTTTTTTACATCAAATCCGTTGATTTTGGATTATCATTATGTAATCTATTCGTTGATTTTGGATTATCATTATGTAATCTATTCGTTTGGCATGGAACTCTTTTATACATGACTTTTTTTTTTTATATTTTATGAGTATATCTGTCCATCAAAATAGGATATAAATTACAGTGATTTTTTTTAAATGTGTTTCGATTTATGCGCATATCTGCCAAGAAAAATCTCTAAACTAATAATACAAATAATTTCCAAATAAAAAATGAAATGGCAGATTCCTTTACAAACAAAACTTTTAAATGTTAGTTTTATTTTTCCAAAAGTCTCTCAAATATAAATGAGATGAAATTTCCAAAACAAACTCTTAAAACACGTAAACAGTACTATTCATTTTAAATGAATTAAAATTTCCAAAACAGATTACTTAACACACGGGAACAGTGCAAGTCAATTTAAAAATGAGAAGCGAATTTTTTGCAGCATCTCAACACGAATCTTTATATCATAAATAATTAAAAAATTCACGTGTCTCTATAAACGCGTGAACAAAAATTGGAATGACAATTTTTATGCTAAAATTAGTAAGTCAATGACTCATTATTTTTTAAAAGTTTCCTTAAATGATTTATTAACCTCTCTTTTTCAATATATATAGATACATATCCACACAATCTCTTATGCAAAATACACCCATAGTTTAGAGTGGATGACAATTTCGTCCATTAACTTTTGGTCTCCTATAGTAGGTCAGNAAAATCACTAAGTAAATAATAATTAATATTATATTATATTATTTAATTACCTTATTTAATCAAACATTTATTATCATTATTGTTTTTTATACTAATTTACCTTATTGAATTTTAATTAATTTTTTATATATTAAATAAATATTTACTAAATAAATAAATATATTAAATAATTTAATAAATATATATTATATAATTAAATATATTAAATAATACAATACTGTTTATTTATTTAATATTAAGTAATAATATAAATAATAAATATAGCAAATAATTGATAATACAATAAACTCTAATTAAGTTAGCGGTTGGATTATAATTGGTGGAGTTGAAAATCCTTTGTTGAAAAAAAGAAAAAAAAAAAGAGTTATGGCTGCAATAATTGCCAATCCGTGCGGGCCCTAGTACATAAATCCAATAATTTTCGTATCTAGTATAGTGGTGAGTATTCCCGCTTGTCACGCGGGTGACCCGGGTTCGATCCCCGGCAACGGTGCCAAAATTTGACCGCGCGTCGCAACACGGAAAATTAAAATTTATATTTTTCTTCAACTAACCTCTATTAACTAATAGTAGTTGCAAATAAAGGTCGATCCCACGAGGAGTATGAATCAAATTGTGAATTTTCTCGTAATAATTCAAATTATAAAAACAATAAAAGAAGGGGATTGTAATTTAATAACTAAACTAAATAAAATCCTAATGAAACAAATAAAATCTAAACAAATGAAATAAAAATAATATAAAATATATAAGAGAATTTTCTAGTTCATGGTTCCGTCTACGCCCTTGCTCGACTAGTCTAATCAATTGTGACGCCAAGATTCACTATCTTTTGAAATTAGTGGCCCTAGATAACAACACGCTCTACTACCCAATTTTTTCTTTACTTTTAATTTAACCGTGAGACGCTCTACGATTAAACCTGACTTCTTGTACAGTCTAGGACACGCTCTCTAGATTTAATACAATAGCCGCTTTAGGATCTAGAAAAATAGGCTAGACTAAGTAGTGAATCCAACCGCGTGGTTCACTTAAATAAACCATGTTATCCCCCGTAGTTACCATCTTCTGGTTGCTCTTATGAATTAAACCCAACAACAATTACAGATTGCAAGTTTAATTCTAGCATTAGACATGAAAATCTTATCTAGGTGATCAATTTAAATAAAATCAAACACATCATGGTTGCTCAGTTAAAATAACACAAGCAATTTCAAAAAGATAATTAAAATTATCAAATACGAAAATCAATCAAACATCGTCAAGTAGAGTTCGATATTCCCGGAACTAAAAATAAAATCTAATCTAGCATAATAATAATAAAAAAAAAAGAAATAGAATTATCTTTTTCTGTATACGAATACGGCCTTCCTCCGCAATTAAAGGGTTCTTGGATGCGTAAATAAATCCCTGTTTCCAAATAAATCTGGTTGCTCCTGCGTGTCCCCTCCACTTGGAGTACTCTCCAACAATTATTTAATTGGCGAAATTTTACATCTACTACGTGATTACATATTAATTGCAATATAACGATGATACAAGTTTTAATTGCAATCCTACGAGTTGTATGGATTTTAATTGCAAAGAGACAATATACCAGTTACAAACAAAAAGAAGAAACGTCTCCTTAAATTGCGTGACAATAGGGATTTGGTTATGCATTACAAAATAATAAATCTCTCTCTATATATTAGGACTATATATCCTAGAAAATAGGAATCTGTTCCAAAAAGAAACAGAATTATAATACATTTGAAATTCAAACAACAGAATATTCTAAACACGCAAAAACTACATGATCGGGAATATCAAACCATTTTGATGATCTAAGGTTGGAAAATATACGATTTTTTTATTTTCTTTTATTTTTTAATTTTGTGTTGAAATGATGAAGTAAGGCTGGAAAATATATATAATATATAAACACCACATATACAATCTTGAAAACAATTACAAAGTTGCAGCTCGGTATACTGTAATTATATCATTCATGTACATATACCTAACATAATCGTGTTATATACTTAACATGTAAGTGTATATAGTATATCATTCATGTACATATAAATAACATAATCGTGTTATATACTTAATATGTACGTGTATATAGTATATCATTCATGTACATATACATAACATAATCGTGTTATATACTTAATATGTAAGTGTATATATTTTTTTTGGTTTTATAAATAAAATACACGATCAGACTTATATACACAAAAGATATACTCATTATATACAGACGAAATAAATAAAATAACAGAAGATAAATTAATCTTGTCATTATATATATAAAATATATACTGAAGATATACAGAACATATACAAAAAAAATATATTGTATACTATAATCTGCCGGCGTGTATAGAGATCCCAGTAATTCACCACGAACTACAATACGCAAACCCTAATACCGATAGTTACGAACACATTCGCCGCCTAATATTCCGGCGAACACAAACAATTACAGAGAATAGACACTTAATTCACACGGGCAAACACAACAACGCCGAAAATTCGAGAAAAAAATGGGGTAAAATTTTAAATATACAATCACAAAACCTTAAAAGAAAACGAATTTATACATTCAAAAATTGCACGAATTACAAAAAACAGATCCTTCGATCGATCGGAAGATATAGGCGCAGTGAAGCAACTCTGCTCTGTGTTTCTTCTTCAGACAAAATTGAAACTTCTCTTTTTACACCTTTTTCCTAATTCTATGCATCTTTTTTCTCCTTCTCCCATAGGCTACCTCTCGCTCTCGAGTCTCCTCTCTCTCTCTCTATCCACGAAAAGGTTGGATTTTTTTATGTTTAATCGCCATCGAATATATTCACCGTGTTATCTCCATGGATTGAAACGGTATTAGCACGATTGAGCTTGGGGCTAGGGTTGCGGCCGGTGCTAGGGCGTGAAGTCGTCGTGACATCAATATCGGCCTCGGCGGACTGTCGAGTCTAGTCAGGACCGATCGAAAAAAAAAAGATAAAAAGATCAATTAAAAGAGAAGAGAAAAAAATTAAATGAAGAAGAAGAAGAAGAAGAGGAAACGGGAGAGGGAAAGATAGAGATAAATCGCGAGAAAAAATCAATTAAAGAGGAAGAGAAAAAATAAATAAATGAAAGAAGAGTAGAAGAAGAAGAAGAAACGAGGGCGGTAGAGAGAGATAGAGAGTGAAATAGTGTTGGGATATTAAATCCCATGAAATTAGATAACAGATCCCATAAATTAGGTTTAGTAATTTTACAAATAAAAATGAGTGTCTAGTAGGAATGCAATAAAAGTTCGGATATATCGTGTGAGGAGTAATTTTCTCTATTTGGTTCTCCTCCATCTCCTAACTTTAAATGGGCTGCCACCTCTCTCTTAGCCCTTTAGGCATTTTATTTCAATGCTAAGCCCACTTAAACTAATATGAATTTGGCCCATATAATGGCTGATATTGGATGCTTCATTAATGGATAACGTGAATTTACGGTTCAATGTTTCGTAATCCTAAAAAATACTCTAATATGCTTAAAATAAATATAAAAATATCAAAGTATTAGAACCCATCTAATAAATAAATAAATCGAAAAATATATAAGTGCAACAAAATTAAGCATATAAAAATACGCTAATAAATATATAAAATACACACTTTTTCTGACCAATCAACATCTGACCTGCTATATGCGGTCAGAGTAGACGTGTGGCCCGTGGCCCGACACGGACCGGGCCGTGTTTTGGCCATGTTTAGGTTAGAAGACCAAAAAATTAATTTTTTCATCTACGGACCATTTCCAAAAAATGAACCTTTACTTGGACCAAAAGTAGAAAGGGTTAGTTAAGGGATCAACAAAAAACTTTTTTGTCAAATTATGACATCTTTATTTCCATCGATAGATTGAATTTCACATTATTGGTATCCGATTACATTTATTCTACAAGCTTATATGGTTCCTAGCTGGCCTTATATTATTTAATTAACCCAAGAATTTAAACTATTAACACTTTTCAGAGGCATACAGAATAGTAGATTATTAATTATTGATCCACATGTAAATTCTTGCAATATATTCTTCACGAGTAGAATTTTGTTTTGATGGAATACATTCTATGAGTTTCATTTTTATCAATCGTTATTTTATATTAAAGAAAATAAAAAAAAAAGAAAAGAAATTGTGGATTAATAATTAGCCCGAGAATCCTCGAATAATTAACATATATATAGAAATTAACCTTACGCAGGAATAAATTCTTTGCACAAAGCAATTACCTTTTCTTAAATTATAAAAAATGTATGTCTTTTTTACTAAGCTAAATATCATGGGGACTGTAATTATCTAAGTAGCCCATTTGCTAATCAATGTCTATTGATAATTTTATTAAAATGGCAATTTACTAGCTTAAGTGGGAACCTAATCTTAATAGTAATCATAAATTCTTACTTGAAATAGTCAAATCATTAAATGAGTTGATACATCATTATTTTATTTAAAAAATGTATATTTATGTTACGAAATATCATATTTACTTTTATATATTTTTTTATAGTATAATATTTCAATTTTAAAATATATTTATTAAAACAGTATTAATGTCTAACGTTAGGCATGACTGATACTATTCCTCTAGCAATTTTCCAATTACCTCCTCAATTTAAGGAAGTTATAAGCTCCAAAAGACTTTTGTTTTTTGGCCTGAAAACACTCCCCCGGCCATTATCAGCTTTTTTCCGTCCCATGCACTTTATAATAAAGCTAAAAAGCAAGCATATAAAGAATAATTAAAAAGAGAATTAATTTATCATTTTTTTTTCCAATAGAAAGAAAAATGAAATATGATGAAAAATAAAAAATACAAATGGCGCGCTTACTCAACCCCACAAGTATAAAATACTTCCTTATGTTTGACAAAGACAATATGGGGTTTTCCATCTGCCTCTTCTGGGAAAAGCAAACACACTTCTGAAAGCTTCACTAACAAAGAAAAATATAGGAAATTGGAGAACTTTCATCATAATAACACAAGAATTCAAGAGAGGGAGAGCAAAAAATAAAAATAAAAAAAATACTATCTTTTTCTTCTTCTTTTCTTTTTCTTTTTTATTTTTGTGATGTTGTATTATTTGAAGGCCATAAAATTCTCAAAAATTTCTTTTTTGAGCTAGCATCAAATGATGGCTGGAAACCCTAATTGGTGGGGCATGATAAACGACACCATGCATTCACAATCTCATCATCATCAACATCAACAACAACTTTCTTCTCAATTTCCTTATGTCTCGAATTCCGATCAACTTTCTTCGTCGAACCCTTCTCATTCCAACAGCCCGGATTTTCCGGTTAGGTCTTGGAGCCAACTACTACTGTAAAATCTCTCTCTCTCTGTCTCTCTCTCTAGTTAATTATTAGTTAAATTTATTAAAAAAAATATATATTTGATTTTTTAGGTTTTAAATTTCACACATGCTTAGTAACATAGGTAGAGTTTGAGCTAATAATCAATTTTGGGTCTAATAACCTAATATTGTGGTTGATCAGGGGTGGATTGGCTAATAGTGAAGAAGAAAGATTTGGCGCGAATGTTTTCCAACAACAAAAGAAGGTGGAAAATTGGGAGGACCAAGTGATGTTGAATCTGAACAACGACCCGTCGTCTTTCGCTACACAGCTCGTTAGTCTGCCTTTTGACGCCAAGCAAGAGGTCTCTCAAACCAACTGCCGATTATTTTACGGTGGTTTAGAAGACGGGTTTGATGCTAATAATAGACTTTCCATTAATTCTTGGCCTAATTCATCTCATCAAGTAGTTGGGCCGGTTTCTTCACCGACTTCTTGTGTCACGACCTTGAGTGGAAATATTTTGAATTTCTCAAAGTCGAAAAATCAAATCCTCAATCAAGATCGTTCGTCCAAGGTAAGTAATTATGTATTTGTTGTTCGAAAGGGAATTACAAGAAATTAATAAGAAATATAAACCACATGATTTTTTATTTTTATTTTTGAGAGGACATGATATTGGAATGGATAATAATTGACCATGAAAGGTTGTGAGAGCATAAAAGTAGATTCGAGTCTATCGGTGATCAGCGCAGTCACCAGAGTTTTCACCGTTGGATTAACACACACACATACACTTACTCTGACAGATGGGTATTGGTCTAACGGTAAAAAACCATTGACTGGCGGCAGTGAAATGTACTTATAGCTATAGCCAAGATTTTGAATTATCAAGATTTTGTATCATTAACGATATATTTTACGATCTTGGAGAAAAAAATGTACTTGCTTATAGCTATAGCCAAGATTTTGAATTATTATCAATATTTTGTTCATTAATGGTATGTTAATTTACGATCTTGGAGAAAAAAATAACCGGTTAAATTTTGTTAAATGATTAGGGTTTCTAATTATTTGAATTTTATTCCCTTTTGTTTAAAAGTGCAATAGCACGGGCGATGGTGGGGCATCTAAGAAAGCTAGGATTACACATCCCTCAGCCCAACCAGCTTTGAAGGTCAGGAATCTTTGGGATTTTTCCCTTTTTGATCTGTTTTATGAACTAATTTTATTTTTATTTCAATTTTTAAGATTTATAATAATTAGACATGAATGTATGGGCTTAGGATTTCTTTATTAGTTACATGTAGATTGAATTTTCAAATTTATTCATATTTACGTGTGGGTCTTGATGCAGGTGAGAAAAGAGAAGTTAGGGGATAGAATATCAACTCTTCACCAACTCGTTTCTCCATTTGGGAAGGTATTAACTATTAATAATATAATTAAGAGATTAATTATGCATACATATATAACAAGGGTTCGACTGTGTTGCACTATTATAATTGAATTTTTTACTGTTGGATATCAACACGATATATAACCGGTTGGTTGAATTTTTCTTCATATAATTAGAACTATGAAAATTACTGTGAAGAAGCATGTTTAAAAAGTATTTGTAGCACATTGGACTAATTAATTACAAAGTAAAAATCATGAAAGAAATTCCTTAAAAAAATAAAAATAAAAGAAACCTGCTTTCCTTTTATTTGCTTTTACCATCGGATGTGATATTTTGTTTTTCTTATTAAATTTTATTTTACATTCAAAGATTAATATGAGAAATTAGAATGACTTTGAGGGCGTGATATGTGTTATTCTTTTGCAGACTGACACGGCTTCTGTCTTGTCAGAGGCCATTGGCTACATTAGATTCCTTCAGGGCCAAATTGAGGTAAATATTTGGTGCCTCTCCCAAACCTATGAATGAATTACAAAAAGAAAAAAAAAATTGAAAATTCAGATGCGTGAATGTATATTCCTTCATGCTTTTCTGTGTGTTTTGTTTGTATGGGAAAATGATTTTGTGTTTCAATTATTTTTACATTTGATTAATAAATGGCACTTGTTAAATAGTAGCATTATTATGGGCACATATTGTTTCTTCAGTATAATAAAACATAATATAGATTGAAATGAAAGAATGCAGCAGACTCGAGAAAGATACATAAGAGAGAAATGTGATTTCCATTCTTAAATGATTAATCTCAGATCTGATACAATGTGTATAACATAAGTAGTAGCCGTGCTCTTCATTAAGAGCTAAGAGAGAATATAAATACTACCTACAATGTATAACCCTAATAGTCATGTGGCATAATCTTAGTCATCCACAAGATGTTCCTTTACTACCCTACAAGTAATGTAAGAATGAGTTGGCAAAATAAAGCAATGATCTCCTATGTATGTACCAATGCACTAGCTATATATTTAAATTCTAACATCCTCCCTCAATCTGAGCGTGGCTGAGGAACAACAAGAAGCTTGGTTCTCAGCCTAGTGAAAGATTGCATTGTTAGAGGCTTAGTAAATATGTCTGTTATTTGATCAACTGAAGGGACATGCTGAACTGAAAAACACCCTTGACTGACCTTCTCTTGAACAAAATAAAGATCCAGCTCAATGTGTTTTGCCTTTGAATGGAGAACAGGGTTTGCTGAAAGTGCTTTAGCTCCAACATTGTCAATCCAAATAACTGGTGTATTGAGCAAAGGAAGTTGCAGCTCTTTGAGGAGAAAACTCAACCATAGGACATCTGTACTACAGTGAGCTAGACTCCTAACTTCTGCTTTTGTGCTTGACCTTGAGATAGAGTGTTGCTTCTTAAAGCACCAAGCCACCAAATTGTTTCCAAGATAGATGCAGTAGCCTGTAACTGACTTCCTATCATCAATATCAGTTGCCCAACCTGAATCAGAATAGGCAACAATGTTGAGATTTGATGATTTTGTGATAGAAAGACCATTGATGTGCCAGCTAGGTACCTGAGCACTCTTTTAACTGCTCTCCAATGAGTGTCTAAAGGGGCTTGCATAAACTGACTCAGTTTGTTAACTGAGTAGCTAATTTCTGGCCTGGTTATGGTAATGTACTGTAGAGCATCCAACACACTTCTATAAAGTGTTGCATCAACAGTTGCAGAACCAATGTGATTAGACAACTGACTTGAAGTAACCATAGGAGTATCTGCTCCTTTGGCTTGAGCCATTTTAACTTGAAGTAACACTTTTCTAATATATTGTGCCTGACAGAGATGCAAATGACCTTTTGAATTTGTAGTCACTTGAATTCCTAAGAAGTGATGTAGGGAACCCAGATCTTTTAAGGAAAACTTCTTGTTTAAGATGCAAGTAACTTCTGACATCTCACTTTCGCAGCTTTGGAATAATTAAACCCAAGCAAAAGAAGTTCTTGCTTAAGCTTATTATACCATGCTCTTGGTGCTTGTCTAAGACCATAGAGTGCCTTGTTAAGTTTACAAACCAATCCGTGCTGTCCTTGTTCCTCAAAGCCTGGTGGTTGTTGCATGTATATCTCATGTTCTAACTCACCATTGAAAAATGCATTGTTGACATCTAGCTGCTTGATTTTCCAACCAGAAGTCACTACAAGGGACAAGACAGTTCTAAGAGTCACATGCTTCACCACAGGACTGAAGGTTTCTTCAAAATCAATTCCTGCATTTTGAGTGTATCCTTTTGCAACTAACCTAGCTTCACCACAGGACTGAAGGTTTCTTCAAAATCAATTCCTACAATAGGTTTGTTTAAAGGTGCAGACACTAAGGTCCAAGTGTTGTTGTTCATGAGTGAATTGTATTTACTATTGATGGCTTCGTTCCACTTATCAGAACTTAAGGCTTCAAGATCACAAGTTGGCTCAGTTTCTTCATCAAGAGAACTCACTAAGGCTTTGGGTTTGAAGATCCCATGTTTAGATCTTGTCACCATAGGATGTTGGTTCTCATGAGGATTAGATTCAATATGAAGATCTACAACTAGAGGTATTGAGTGATAATCTGAACTGGGTGTGTATGCTCTTTTAGAACTGATATACTGAGGGCTTTCAGAATATGGAGAGTGTGGTGAGTGCACACTTCTTTGGTCTGAGGCTTGATTTGAGCTGAAGGATGGTGGTTGATTTGATGATGTAAGATTTTGAACTTGCACTACAGGAGGTGGACTTATAGCCTCAGTTGACAATGAAGTGCCATTTGAGGTGAATTTTGACTGGTGTTTCTAAAGACAAGGGAATTTTCTTTCTTCAAAAAGAACATGCCTACTTATCAGTATTTTTCTAGAAGAAAGTAGGATCTTGAATCGTTTATATCCATCCACATATCCAAGAAAGGTTGCTGCTGAGGATCTAAATTGCATTTTGTGCTTGTTCAAGTGTCTAGTGTAAGGATAACACAAACATCCAAATACCTTCAGACTTTCATACTGAGGTATCTTACCATGAAAAACTTCATATGGAGATTTTCATTGAAGCACCTTTGTTGGTAAGACAATAATGAGTGCAACAACAGTTCTAAAAGCATCTACCCAATAATAATGAGGAACTCCTGATTGAGCAAACAGAGAGACAACCACTTCAACAATATGTCTGTTCTTTCTTTCCACAAGTCCATTTTGCTGCGGAGTGTATGGACAAGAAAATCTGTGCATGATTCCATGAGATTTCAGGAATAGAGTAAAAACTTGGAACTCACCACCACCATCACTCTGTATGGCTTTGATCTTCTCACTATACTGGGTTTTAATAAGTTTTTTAAACTAAATAAAAGCAGCAAGAGCATCAGACTTAGCTTTCAGAAAGTAAATCCATGTTAATCTTGAATACTGGTCAATAAAGCTTATGTAGTACTTATGATTAGTATATGAATGCACAGGAGATGGCCCCCAGAGATCACAATGCACAAGTTCAAACACAATAGTATAAGTTGATTGTGATTCCAGAAAGGGAAGCTTATGAATCTTTGACTTGCATCATGCATCACATAAAGACAGCTTTTCATTCAAAACTTGTTCATTACATTTGTTCAACACTTGATTAACAACTTCTACAGAGGGATGTCCCAACCTCTGATGCCATACATTATAATCAGGCTTCTTGGAAAGCATAGTAACATAAACTGAGGGTTTTACTTGGTTATTGACAGAAGAGTGGTTCCTGAAACTTCTCTCACCATTTTTGATGCACATCAAATCTTCAAATTGATATAGACCTTCTTTAAGTTTCCCTTGAAGCAACACTTCCCCCGATGCTTGATCCTTGACAAAACAAGTTTTTGGATGAAACTCAAAATATACTGAATTATCCAAAGCAAATTGTGACACACTCATTAAGTTCTTTGTTATTCTAGGCACAAGAAGAAGATTCTTAAGCTGAAACATAGAAGAGTGTGATTTGGACTGAACAGTAGAAGAGCCAACATGAGTAATGCACAAACCTGCTCCATTTCCCATGTGCATCTTGTTGTTTCCTTGATATTCTGAGGCTGAGTTGAGGTTTGACATGTCAAAAGTGACATGATTTGTTGCTCCAGAGTCAGGATACCAGCTAGGATCAGAAACAACTGAGCTGTTGTCTTGAAGTGCCATCATAGCTTGGTAGTTTTTTGAGTTTTGAGTGTTCTGATTTCTGCCTCTTCCAAAGTTCCTTTGATTCTGAGTGTTAGAGTTGGGAGTAAAGTTCAAATCACACATATAGTAACACTTGTCTGTAGTGTGATTTGTATAATGGCAGATTTGGCATGCATTCCTATTTTGATTGAATCTGCCTCTCCATTTTTCTCTTGAAGACCTGCCACCTCCTCTGAAATTGTGGTTTCCTCTTCCACCATTTGATCATAAGGTGTTTTCCTTCTTAAAGGACTGAGTTACTAAGTTTGCAACAAAGCCTTGATTTTCCTCAGACATCACACCATTGGTTGCTTCCAATCTTGACTCACAACTTAGGAGAAGAGCACAAACCTCATTTAGAGTGAAGGAATCTGGTTTTGAGGTTACTGTCACCACTATAGAGTCATACTCTGAGCTCAGTCCAACAAGAATGTGCAGAATCTGATCAGTCTTCTTGATTTTCTGCCCAGTAGAGGCCAATGAGTCACAATACAATTTGATTTTACTTATGTACTCTCTCATGGGGAGTCCTCCTTTCTTCATTGTGGATAGCTGCAGTTTGCACTGCATTTGCCTAGCTAGAGATTGGCTGGCATAATTTACCTCAAGGGTTATCCACATATCATGAGCTGACTCAACACCAACAAGGAGCACAAGAAGACTTTCAGAGATGGAGGACAACAACCATGAAGCTAACAGCTGATCTTGACTCTGGTAGGCATAGTACTCAGGATTCAGAACAAGCTCTTCACTTTGATCAGATTTAGTAAACTTTGAAGGAATGGACATAGTACCATACAAGTATCCTTCAAGACCGTAGCCTTTCACAGCAGCCAAAATCTGTTGTTTCCATATCAAAAAATTGCTATCTGAGAGCTTTGTTGTGATGATCTAAGACTGTGGTTGAATAACCTGAAGACCCGTAGATGAAGTCGGATGAGATGGATGAGTGTGAGTGATAGTAAATGGAGTGGAGCCTGATGAGGCCTCCATTGAGCGAACTAGCAAGTGAGATCACTAAAATAAAGAAGAAGGGACCTAGACGATGGTAACTCTGATACCATGAAAGAATGCAACAGACTCGAAAAAGATACATAAGAGAGAAATGTGGTTCCCATTCTTGAATGATTAATCTCAGATCTGATACAATGTGTATAACATAAGTAGTAGCCGTGCTCTTCATTAAGAACTAAGAGAGAATATAAATATGTATAACCCTAATAGACATGTGGCATAATCTTAGCCATCCACAAGATGTTCCTTTACTACCCAACAAGTAGTATAAGAATGAGTTTGCAAAATAAAGCAATAATCTCCTATGTATGGACCAATGCACAATATAATTCTAACATCCTCCCTCTCATGTGTTAGTCTCATTGTTGAAGTGTTATATTTATTATTTTGGGAAGCTTGATATTATTCTCTTGTGGAGGAGTTTGTTAGACTTTCTTTTAATTTTTTGTTAGTACTTTGTGGGTTAAGGCTATTTCTCTTAAATTTTTTATTTTTTTTTCAGCTACATGATTCAGTTATTGTAGAGGTTCACTAGTATGTAATTAATTGGTTAACCTACTTTGCGAAAAAAAAATGCATATTCTTTCAATAGACCATTTATTTCAGTATAATTTCTTATCGTTAAGTAAATTAAAAGACTACAACTTTCAGTTTTAGTACGTTTTTACTTTAATGAATTGTATGATTTTTATATGAGTATTTTCGATATCATCATATAGAAAAGATGTTCATCAATTTAAGTTATATGTAATATACGTGTAAGCAGCCTTGAGTAAATTGAACATAATTATGTAATGTAATATGATGTATTATAATTATTATAAACATAAATGGAAGTAACATTTCTAGTATCTTTTGCAAATTCGCTTTATTTTTTTCGGCCTTTGGTCACAGGCACTGAGCTCTCCTTACATGCGGAATGCAGCAGAAAGCAGCAGAAATCAACAACATTCTGTAAATACGTACCCATTAATTAATATTTCTGATTTTATTATTTTCTTCACATTTTCCCATGCACGACCAAGATTCTTCACACACAAACACACAATTACACGTGTATTGGTATTACCAAAATTCGGTTGTCCATGTACGAATAATAATAATAATAATAATAATAATAATAATAATAATAATAATAATAATAATAATAATAATAATAATTTTGTTAGATTCAAGAAAGGAATTGCCTGTTAAACGACGAGCCCGGTCAGGTAAATGTGCTTTATTGGATCCTTAACTTCCTAAAAAGGGCCTTTAATTTGAAGTATGGTTTAAAATGTAACTTAATTCTTCATTACTGGCAAATTAAAGTTCTCTTTGCCAAAAGTTGCATTTGGGTTAAGCCATGTGAAACTAACTAAATACTTTTTATGATAAAGACGTTCAACTAGATGATTATTCCTCCTGAATCATTTTATCTGTTTTTTTTTTTTTAATTTACTTAAATTAATTATCTACTCCTTTTTGGTTATCTTTACAGTTATTGAATGAAGTTAACCATCAAGGTCGAGGAGCTTCAAATCAGGTAAAATGACAGGCAAAAATGCAATTCATGCCCAGTAATTACTTATGGCATGTGGCAAATATAGATACCGTTTTTGTATTTTGGCAAATTAAGACAATAATTTGAAAAATCTCGCACTTAATGCCCAATTGATATACTACCGTTAAATTGCAAGTTACTATCCTAATTTATTAGAAAAATTCGGTAAATTGTACGTCGATTGGGCGTTAAGTCCGTGAATTTTTAAATTACTGCTCAAATTTACCAAAATGCAAAAGAAAGTGTCCATAATTACCACAAGCCATAAGTTACAGAGCACAGATTGTAATTTTGCCCACTTTTTTAGTTGATTAATATTTTATATAATGTAAAATGATAATAATAATAATTAATTAATATATAAAATGGCAGGATTCACAAGGAGTGAAGGATTTGAGAAGTAGGGGGCTTTGCTTGGTCCCAATCGACTGCACTCAGCACGTCGGAAGTGAAATCGGAGCCGATTATTGGGCTCCGGCGGCCTTTGGTGCCGGTTTTTGATTTTCCGGTCAATAGTTTGGAGTTCACTTGCCGTAACATCAAATGCAGTCATTCTCTATAGCAAGAGGCTGACTACTTGTGATGCTACTTGCTATAGTTCTCTTTTCGATTCATGCATGCCAATTCAATTGGGGGGAGAAAATGTCAATTAAACATGTTTTCCTGGGCTTTTATGTAATTAAACCTAAATAATGTTGTAGAAGGGACATGTATATTCATGCTGCCTTTTAAAATGAAAAATTTCATCTTTATTTCAACGTAATCCAATAAATATATTATTATGTTGAGTTCAAGCAGATAATTAATCTCATTTGCTAAATGAATCGACCCGAACAAACACAGTCGATATGACTTGTTCGAGATCTCGTTTAAGATTTTAAGTTTATTAAACGAGTCAAATGAACTTTCACGAATTTAACCGAGTTGAAGCGAGCTTCTCATTTTTTAAACGAACATTAACTCGAACATGAGGATATGTATGTTTATGTATTGATCTAATAGTAAAAAAGTTGATGACTACAAAAGCAATGAACAATAGAGTCAACTCTTCCATCGAATCCATATATATAATCTGAGAACTCAATAGTAACCTATTAATTAGGTGGGAAATTAAGATATGAGTCATTATTCATTAACATGTAAAGGCGTGTAATTATGTTATACTTTATACTTATCGTATTATTTAAACTTAATCAAGCTTTAGATGTGGTACAATCTAGGGGATCTACCAATTTATATTATTTTTACCTTTTGAAATAAAAACATTATCCTAGTTATATTTTCAAGAATATCCAAGTGGACACAATGGTTGCAGTGGGGTGGCTGCCTTTCTGTGTATCTTTATTTCTAAGTCACATATATAATATAGTTAAATAACTCCTACACATATGGCTCCAAATATTGGTTTCCAATTGGGTCTACTTGTAAATTATAATACTCATTTTTTTTTCCCTTAAAATTTTTCATAATGCTCGTGCCAAAATTGAAATGAAAATGACCAATTGTTCTTCTGGCTACCTCTAACAATGATATCATGACAAGTTTTACTTTCTTTTTTTCTCACGTAAGCATGATGTCATAAGTTCATCATACACATATTCTGGTAAAATTTTAAAATTGGTCCTATAACTTGGCCACAGTTTAAAAAACCACCCCGATATTGACAAATTTCAATTTTGGTCCTATAATTTATCGATTTCATCATTCCTGGTCCTTTTTTATCCCAACCCTGGATAAAAATTTGACGTGACGTCACGTGACATTTTTTTTGTCTGACGTGGCGCGACGTGGCGGCTTCATTTATATTTAATAATTTATTTATGCCATGTAGGAATTATTATACTCAAGTGGAAAATTAAAAAAAAACTTAAAAACAGAAAATTAAAACTAGGTGAATATTAAAATCTAATAAAACAAAATATTAAAACCAAAAACTAAATATTTTTTTTAAAAAAAAAGTAGATCGTAGAATTGGTTTCCCCCATCCCAACGTCAACATCAACATCCCGGCGTCCAACACCAGCTTCCGTCCGCCGCTGGACTTCCAACATACAGACCTTAGCCAAGCAGTTCACGGCGTCCAACACCACATTCTGCCCGTCGTCGAAATTCCATTATACAGACCATAGCCCAACAGCTGCAGTCGGCGGCATCTGGGCAAAGCCATCCGTCGACTGCACATCCCTTGTGCGAGAGCCCGTCTACCAACCGCTCGTTTAGCGTCCAGCAACAACGCCTCCACCGCCGCGGTCAAGGTCGCCATTTTCAAGAGCCAGTTGTGTTCTCCTTGATACCCGTCAGAACAACAGGCTGCTGTAAAAGTCGTCGGATCTGGAGATGCTGGACACCGTTGGGTGCACGACGGTCTGAGGAATCCAAAAGTGTCCTTGAATTTCGGTGGGTCGCGGTACATCGTCGGAAAATTGATGAAGAAAATCGAATTTTGACCGGATTTTCTAGATCTAAATACTTTGACAAGAGCAATTAACAGCTTTACAAGTGGAACTTTTTGCTGGAAACTTTAGGAGGTGAACAAGGACGAGAAGAGCTTCAAGATGATATAAAAAAAAAAAAAATTAATCGGATGTCGTCGGCCGGCGGCGACAGCGGCGGCAGGGCGGAGGAGGAGGGGCCAGATGAATAAAGAAGACATAAATTGATGTGGATTTTTTAATTTTATGTAAATATTTCATAATCCTGCCACATAAGCTATAGTCACGCCACATCAGATTTAAAAAACGCCACGTCAAATTTTTATCCGGGGTTGGAATAAAAAAAGACCAGAAATGATGAATCGACAAATTATAGGACCGAAATTGAAAGTGGTCAATATCGGGGTGGTTTTTTGGACTGTGACCAAGTTATAGGATTAATTTTAAAATTTTGCCCCCATATTCTAATTAGAAAAAAATATATATCGCAATTTTATTTTCTTTTACTACTTTTTGATAATCCCACTCGTTTTCCACTCCCAATATGTTTCTTTATTTAAGAGTAAACAATGATATTATTATTCATTGTTGCCAAGGAACGATTGGTGTAGGTATTATTCAAATGGGGGTCGAAATATGTGGCTGAAAACATATGTCAACATGTGAATCATAAATCTATATGAAGTACTACAATAACAAATGTGACATTTTAAAAGAAGAAAAAAAATAATAATAATAACAAACAAGATATGGGGTTGTCTGATGTTGTCTGATTTTGCTATTCAAAACGTTGCTTTAAAACTCAGTGTACTGCTGGCCTTCAGGTCATTGGGTCAAAAGTTGATCCAAGTAATTACTTTAAAATTATACTAATACGTAGTCCGTGCGATGCACGTATTAGAAATATTAAATGAGTCATTTTCATATGACCTGTCCATTTATGTCTTTTGATCATAACATTAAACCCGAACCTATGAGCCCTAGTGTGTAAATTAATTAATATATTTTCCTGCTAAAATATTTATGTTAATATAAATTTGATTTTAGTATATATATTTATTCCTTAATATAAGAAAAAAATAACAGTTTTACATATTCTTGTTTTACATATTCCTGTTTACCATGTAAACAAGAAAAAAATAACAGTTTTACATATTCTTGTTTACCATGTAATACTTAATTTATTATTTTATTATAAAATTTGTTGTCATATAATTTTATTTTATAAAAATAGAAGCAGTCTTCTTTTTCTTATGTAAAAAAATATATAATATACGTTAATATTATTTAAATATAGTTAATATAAATTATGTAAATAAATTTAAAATAAAATATTATGTGTAAATATTTTAAAAAATATACACACATTTTCTTTAGAATTTATTTTTTTTATTATAATTAAACAACTTTGATTAACATTTGTTAAAAACTAAGTCCCTTCTATAATCAATAAATTTTTCTAATTTGCATCATAAGATTTTATAGTTTATTTAGCATACCACACAATGGAAAATATATTTTATAAGAATTCATTATGGAAAGAGATCAAAATAAAAATAAAAAATAAAAAATCATGGTTAACATAATATACAAATAAATTACACGTTGAAATGCTAAAGAATAGTTAGTATATTTAAATTTAATTATCTAGTCATTAGTAAAATTATTTAATGTATTTAGTCATTATTTCTATAATTTTAAATTATATTAATTTGAAGAATATATTATATATTTAATGAAATAAATTTTAAGAAAAAATATATTTAAATTGATTAGTTCACTAACTTGATTTTGCCTAACTAAGTGGAAAAAAAAAGTTACGTAACTTATTACGATTTATTTATAAATATATTAGGATGAAAAGTCAATATTTATGAAAAAAAAAATATAATGATATGGTTAGAATTGAGAATATGTTTGTATATTTATTTTAACCAAAATATTATCAACATGAATCATGGAAAATCAATTTTGTAGTTTATTATAATATATATCAATTAAATTATTGTAAATGTTAAAAATATTATTCAAGGCAAGAATCTTTTTTATCATATTTAATTTGATCTGATTAGGAAACATGTATTTAGAAGCAATTATGCATATATTTAAAAAAATTCTAATAAAGAAGGTATGCATGAAATGTTACCAAACTTTTTTGCTACTATTTTTTATAAATGGATATTCTTATTATATAGATATAGATACAGATTCATCTTTTTTATAATATGGCTATACATACATGTAATAAAATAAATAATTTATATTTAAATTTTATATATTAAAGTGTTAATATTTTATTTTATTATAAATATTTACCACATAATTAAATATAAATTGATGATGTATTATCTGAATATATATATATATATATTCCGGATAAAAAAAGTCTATGCTAAGTTGACCGGGTTTGATTGGCTCTCTTGTTACCGATCCAAAATGCCCACCCACACCAGCTTCACTGAGTTGACATGTTGAGCAGGGCGCCGGCCAGGTTTTATAAACCAATTATTCGTTTTTTGGCCAAAACGATAGAGATATTATGTAAAACGAACAAAAAACAGAGAGCATCCACCACCTGAATACACACAGCCAATAGCTGAAAAAGTGGAAGGATAGGTCAAAAGCCCGCCTAGAACCGACCCCAACGGGGTAAAACTCAAGAACACTACAAAACACTAAAAAAAACACACAAAGACTCCAACAGGGTAATACCCGAGTGTCTGGCCCCAACAGGGAAATCAAGTTGACACCCGGGCACACAGAGGCCAACGGCCAAAACCAAAAACACAAAACACCATCAATATAAACCAATTATTCGAATAAACGTTTTGAATAAACCAATTAATTGTTTACAATTTACAAATTTTTAAAATAATAGTTTATTATCATTTACAATTTACAACTTTTCCTACAAAATAAAAGATAAAAAGAGAAATAAAAAGAACAAGACACTAAAACGACACGATAAACATAAAAATGAGTCGAAAATTTTGCCTGAACGGAAAGTGCCGAAAATTTACCGGAAAGTGCCGAAAATTTCGCCTGAACGGGCATGAATTTTCACCGAAGAAGTCGAGCTCCCGGGGAGCCCGAGCCGAGCCACAACTCACGAGCACGCGAGTTACACCAAGCAACCAGCCCCAACTCGCCCGCCAACGGACATTAGACAGCCCATGAGTGCCCAACCTATGCCTACACTCGCTCGCCAAATCCAGTTCGCGAGCTCGTCAGCCAGCACTCGCCCTCCAACTCCATTCCGCAAGGTCGCGAGTTCGCCGCCCAACCCAGCAACACTTGTTCGCCAACTCCATTCCGCAAGGTCGCGAGTTCACCGCCCAGGCCAGTAGCACTCGCCCGCCATCTCCATTTCACAAGGTCGCGAGTTCCTTAGTCCAGCTCGTCCAAGACACTCGCCAGCCAATGCTCGTTCATCGAGTCGCGAGTTCGTGTCATTAAATATGTGTATGTTTTAGTGTGTTTTGTGGTGTAACTATAAATAGACTTGTTGCTTTGTATTTTGGACACATCCCCTCATCTCCCAACTTTTTAGTTGAGAAATTAACTCTTTCTCTCTCTTTTCTCCCTTTTTCTCTCCCTGGTTCATTTTTTGAGCTCCAAGACTTGAGTTTTTCGGCGAATTTCGGGCGATGTTATTTTTGTTAAAGTTTCGTGTTTTTCCCTCCGATTTTCTTCGAGCATGCAATACAAGAGTAAGTACTTAGTTTTTAAGATTCATTACTTCGTATTTGCTCTTCTTTTACTTATGAAGTTTTTCAAGGTAAAATTAGTGTCTTGCATGAGAATTTGGGTAAAGTTTGAATCTTTTTTATTTTTCTTGCTTGTCTAAGGTAACTAAGAGTTAAATAAGTGCTTATCTTGTGTTAAAGGTTGAGACTTTGTTAAAAACTTAATCGTTTAGGTTAGAAGGCTCATTTTTATCATCCTAGGAACTTAGTACTCGCATGTTTCTCTTGTTTTATTTTTGTTTTTCTTAAATTGTGGAGACTCCGTGTTAGCAAAGTTCCAATCTTTAGTTGAAGTTCATGCCTTTAGTTAATTGCTTTCAATTTCGTGAATTAAATTATTCTAAATTCAATCTCAATCATCTTGTTAGAATGTTTAGGATCTTGTTTTCGATTTTTGTGCTTTGACGACTAGTAAGTGAACGAAGCTCCGAACAACCTTCCTCGAGAGACACGACTCGAGGTGCAATTTAGGCTATCCAAGTGTTTAAATTTGAAAGTCATAATAAACATGGATAAAAGTGTTAGAGTAGGGTACCCAACGTTCCAATCTAATTGGACGTATTCTACTTGTAAATACAGTCTATTGGAATTATATTATTAATAAGGCATTTCTTTATCTTAAGAGAAAGCATTTATCTTATAAATACACTTAAGATAAAATTCCTAGATCACTTATGGTTATAAGGTATGGTTGCGCATAGAGATGGTGATCATGGAACATACCTTGAAAGCCGTGATCTTAAATACAGTTCCAAGTCGATGGATGTTTCGAGATGGGATATTGAATAATCCATAAAAGACTTGCACATAGTTTGTATGCTTGTTGGACAAGAATGTTGCACTCCATCAACATTAGCGTAAGACGTAAGTACATTTATGTGGGTGCTTGTTAGAGAACGAGTTCACTGAACATGACCGTATGAAAATTCTTAATGAAGAATTTATTCAGTCGAATAAGAATTTTCATGTTACAATAGTACATGACTAATCCTAAGACTTGAGGCACAATGGTAACTTTGTGCATATTACATTCTACTTTGATTTATCCTTTTGGTAGCTAGCACTATCGTTTAAAGGGACATTTTGGGTATTATGTTAATATGTATGGAAGTTTATTAGTGGCCAATAAAGGATTCGACACTTATGAAGATAAGTGAATTTCCTATGTGTTTCATAGTTATTAATCCAAAGTCCTTGGCCAAGGCAGAGATGAATAGTGATTCATAACCGGGTTA